CAGACAGACAGAAAAAGGCCATGGTGCCACGCCACCCACACACACAATCCTCCCTCCCTCCCTCCGTGAGTAACAGACAGACTGACCTTCATTCCGTAGACGAAGAATCCGACCGACACGGCAAGGTAGATGACGCCGATGAGGAATATGCTGTAGGTGCGATACTCCTCATACGCGTGCAGCAGCAGCGTCAGCACCGTGATGACGGCATAGATGCAGTAGACGGCGATGTTGACAAATATGAAGGTCGGCCGCAGGAGGGGTGTGGAGACGAGGGTGGCCGCCTGGTAGACCTGCGCCCAGAAGTAGATGAGCACCGAGTAGGTCGAGAGGAAGATCAGCGAGGGCAGGGAGCGGAACAGGTAGGTGAACCACGTCATCAGCGACGCCTGCGAGATGCTGCTCATCAACACCAGCTGAAGACCCAGCGAAAACGCACGAACTGCACAGAGAGACAAAGAACACACCCACAAATCAGGAGCATGCCCACCAAGCACGTGTGTGTGTGTGTGTGTGTGTGTGTGTTGCTCACAGAAGTTGGCGAGAAACAGCAGTGAAACGAAGAAGTTGCGTGTCTTGCCGCCCGTGAGAGACACAGGTTGCCCCTGATCCCTCGAGGGACTCACGCGGAAAATCGAGAGGAGCTGCATGTTGAGGAAGGCCACCAGCAGGAACAGTGCAATCTCCGCATACACCACATAGATGGCGTCGTCGTCGTTGTTGATGAACCCGCCCTTCCCCTCCTCTCCCCCGCCGCTCTCGGGCGGTGGGATCGGCGCCGGGGCAGGCGCCTGCTTGCCCTTTGGCTCTGCGAGCAGCAGCTCCGCACCGTACGCCACCCACGACATGAGTGCGTGGCGAAGGTGGGATGATGGGATGAGAGGACCGAAGGCTTGTGATCCAGACGATGCAGAGGGTCGTGGATCAGATCTATCTCCAAAACGTGCTCTCTTGACGGCTGACGACGGCGATCGCTATTCTGCGAGCTTGAAACCAAGCGTGCCTGAGGAAAGGGGCCAGTGGCGGCCGTGTTGGTCTCTCTTTTGACGAGGGTGTGCGGGTCTTGCCATTGCCGTCGATTCTTTGCCTCGTTGGCGCCACCCGATTGACGAAGCTATGAACCCCGGGCTCGTCCAGCTGAAGGCCTGAAGGGGCAGACCTGACCACTATGAGCAGTCGGGGCGACGCGCCAAGACCAGTCGCGTCATCAGGTACACCGCATGCGAAAAGATCCGTCCGCAGACTCACACAAACACATGAATGTGCCACACTCTCTGTGGCTCCTGTGTGCTGTCAGCAGGTGCCAGTGACGTCAAGCGTGAGCTCACCAGGACGGCCACACGAGGCCCAGGGCGAATGGCATCCACCGCACCACAGACACCGCAGCCACACGGCAGCCCATCGCCAGCCGTCGCTGGACCGTCACCACCCCCACAGCACTCCTCGCAGCCCACCAACCAGCCGTCCCCCGCCCCTGGCGGCGCCATCGAGTCTGGCGGTCCCTCTGGTGGAGGTCAGGGGGTCGAGAGCGGTGGGGCGGGTGGGTGTCGGGGGACGGCTGCTTGGTGGGCTGCAGGGGTCGCCGCTGCCGCTGCCGCGGCAGCAGAGTCTGACCTCTCCGGCGAAAGCGGTAAGCTGCACCGAAGCCGGCCCTCACACGCATCACATCACGTGAATGTCTAAGGGATGTTGTTGTTTGGTCCCTTCATTCCTTCAGTGAGCGATGAGGACGACGATGATGAGGAGGAGGATGTCCAGGGTGAGGGTGAAGACAGCCGCGCCGTCCCTGCCGCCCGCAAGAAGGCGCGGCACGGTGGCGACGGCGATGATGAAAAATACACACCCGGCCGAGAAAATGGTATTCACTGTATGCCCATGATCGCAGACAGACGTGTCTTGTGTGGTTCATGGTGGACTTATGTGTCTGTCATGCAGATCTGGCTGAGCATCGAGAGCTCGCCATCGAGGAGCAGCAGCCGGATGACACACCAGCCTCGCCAGCCGCTGCTGCACCGGCCGCTGCTGCTGCAGGGGGTCAGGCAGATGGCGACCTCTGCGCCTCCTGCAGACAGCACTACGAGGAAGTCGCAACCAACTACCATACAAGCTACTTCGCCCTCCTCCGCCAGTCCCACCCAAACGTGCAGCCCGCCTTCACCCACCCCCACCAAGGCCCCTACCAAGACACTGTGACCGTCACCATCGGCCCCTTTGCCGACAGCAAGGGCGAGGGCTACTACCTGCGAGACGACGTGAGCCGCCCGGCAAACAAGAGGAACAGCCGCATGGGCTGGACCTTCGTTCCGCTCCGGGAGAAGGCCAAGGAGGCGCTCAAGGGCCCTCCCGACAACAACCGCGATGAGTTCACCACAGGGGAGGATGGCACGAGAGTGTTCGTCAAGCGCAGTAAGTGACTTGCTGGCTGGCCGGCTGGCTTCCATACACACACCGGAGCGCATGGCCGGCAGAGTTTTGGCCAACTCCGGTTGTGTGCGTGTCTGTGCGTGTGTCGCAGTCGCCAAGGCGAAGCCGAAGACGACGGCCAAAGCCAACGGCGCCAGGCGATCGTCGGTTCCAGCAGCAGGTCAGTCAGTGAGCCTGTGGAGCAACGCAATGACGGCTTCTGTACTGATGCATCGGGTGGATGCAGTGGCTGAGGAGATGGGCGACGGGGAGCAGCAGCAAGAGGACGAGCATGCGATGGCGGGTGCTGCCGCGAATGGGCCGCCCTTCCCTCCCATGTGGCCCTACGGCCATCAGCCTCCCCCGTTCTGGCCACCGCCACCATACTTCTACGGTGCGCTTGGACACACGAACAGATAGCTGGCCTCAAAGACACCCGTACTCGTCTCGATGAATGTATGGTGCGGACAGATCACGGCGGCCCCCCACTGCCGCCAGGGAGTCACAACGGGCCATTCATCCACCCAGGTGAAAATGAGTCAACGAGTGTACGTGTCGGGGCGTCCTTCATGCCTTGTCGTGTTGCCATTTCCGTCAGGTGTGCGGCCCCCGGCGCACTCGGCTGCACAGCCGCATCGCCCTCCCCATGTCGCACCGCCACCAGCTGCTGCCACCGCCGCTGCTGCTACCACTGTTGCGCGTCCGTCATTGGCCAAGGCCGGCCCCCCAGCCGCGGCCGCCCTGCCGGGCTCATCCCCCCGCTCTGTCCTGGACCGGGCGAGCAGCAGTATTGCAGAGCGGAAAGGCAGGCGTCATCACATCAACGTTCTCGAGGAAGACGAGAGGGAAGGCGAGCAGGAGGCGCCGGCCGCCGCTGCGAGTCCAAGGACGAGGGGCAAGAAGCGCAAGCATGTGCCCCCTGACAGCGATGTGGCATCGTCACCGGGGGAAAGTTTGAAGGAGGACGTCAGGGCGGGCATGTCAATTAAGAAGAACGGCAAACAGAAGAAGAACAAGAAAGACAGGGACAAGGACAAGGAGGGCGGCAAGAAGAAAGACAAGGACAAGGACAAGGACAGGGACAGGGACAGGGACAGCCGCCCGCTACCCAAATCACCACCCAAGAAACGAGTGAAACGACACCCATCTGAGTCCCCCGCACAAGCACATGCTGCCGCCGCAGGAGCACCACTACCACCACCCGCGTCACCCACACCGCCGGCACCATCGAGCCGTCCGCCTGGCAACGGAGGCTCGGGCGCCTCACGTGGGTCGGCTGCTGCTGGTGAAGGTTGCAATCAGCAGCAGCGAGAGCCAGTCGTCATCGATGACGGCCAGCAGCAGCAGCAGCCGACTGAGGAGAGGGGCGGTGGGGCCGAGCCGCCCCAGGCGGCCGCTGTGTCGACCAGGGATGGCGGAGAGCAACCGGGCGGTAACCGGCCAGGCCAAGGAGGGGGGCAGGGAGGGCTGGCGGCCGCTGCTCGTGTCGGTGTCCGCGTCAAGACTGAGGGCGGCGCAGAGGCCGCCAGGGGTGGTGGGGGTGCCAACCAACAGCAGCAAGGTGCCCCCAAGGCCAGAGCTGGTCGGCAGCCGCAGAAGAAGCCTGTTGGGTGTGTGGAGCGTCAGCTGGTCAACCTCGACCACCAGCAGCTGGTTGAAGCGCTGGAGCGGGATGAGAGCGAGCTGGCAAGAAGCGTGCTGCAGATCGTCAAAAAGGTATGTGGGGGCAGACAGGCAGACACAGAAACAGACAGACAGGGGGGGTGGTCGATGAATGGATGTCTTTGTATGTATACGATTCCTCAGAGTGGGCTCAAGGGATATCATCTGCACCAGATGAGTGGCAAGACGGCGAGTCAAATCAACACCGAATACCTCGGCAACCTGGGGCAGGCGATCGACCTCTGCAACTGGCTCAAACACATCTACGACAACCAAAGGGTAACCGACGCCCTCACTCACTCACTCACTCACTCAGCCGAATACGTGTGTGCGTGTCTTGTGCACGTGCAGGGCTTGGTGTGGGTGCCCATTCCTACCAAGGAGGAGCCCACCGAGGAGCCTGAGCAAGACCAAGATGACCCAAATCAAGGTGCGCAAAAGGGCACTCACACACGCACCAGCCGGCGGATTGTCACAGTGTGTTTGGTGTGCCTCGTTCGTTCAGACGGCCCGCCCCCTCCCCCGCCCTCATCGCCCCCTGCAGCACCGGCAGACGACAGCCACGCCCAAGTGCAGCCGTACCCACACCCACATGGCCATCCTAGCTATGGCACTCAGCCCATCTTCGGGTACCCGCCGCCGCCTGCTGCTCCCGTCGGTGAGTAGATGGGAAGCCGATTTATATAACCCATAGAGCGTCGACAACCACTCATTTTTGGCGCGTGTGGTGCGGGTGGTCCGTCCCATGTGCAGGTGGTCCACCGAACTACCCACCACCGGCACCACCTGAATCGCCGGGCGCGGCCATGTTCTCATCTCCAACCCCTCCAGCGGCGGCAGCAGCAGCAGTAGTAGCAGCAGGAGGCAACACGAGCCAGCTACAAGTACCACATCCGCCTTCCTTCACCAACGGCTTCCACGAGCAGCCACCACCACCCAAGTGAGTGTGTAATGGACGAGTTAGGTGTACTGTACTTCGGGCGTGTGTATGCACAGTTTGGGCCAGCTCGCTGGAGCCGGCAGCGCACTGTCCCGGCAAAGCGAATCACTTTCTCCGCCCCATCAGTGGGTCACGCTCGCTCAGACGATGGATGCAGTCGCGGCCCCTGCTGCATCTTCATCTGGTGAGGAGGCCAACAACAACAAGATGTTTGTCGGCGGACTGCCGCACGGACTCACAGCGGGTAAGAGGGCCCGCGGGAGTGGTGGGTGGGCAGCGACTCATCCATCTGTCTCTGTCGTTGTCTTCGTTCATTCTTTCAGCCCAATTCCGTGCGTACTTTGCGAACTATGGCCCCGTGCGCAATGCGTTTCTCGTCACGGACCCAATTACCGGTCGGTGTGCGAGAGCCACAGCCACAGCCACACTGGTTGGTGCTGACTCTCTCTCTCTCTCTCTCTGTGTGTATGTGTGTGTGTGTGTGTCCGTGTGTGTCCGTGTGTGTCCGTGTGTGTGTGTGTGTTCAGGCCGTCCGCGGGGATTTGGCTTCGTCGTATTCCATGAAAAGTCTACCATGCAGAGGGTGCTCAGCCAGCAGTCGCACTGGATCAATTGCAAGCAGGTCAGACGCTGCGTCTGTTTGGTCTTTCGCTCCCTCTCTCAACAGACAGACGGGGACATTTCGTGTGTGTCAGGTTCAGTGCAAGGTGGCCGTTCCTGGTGGCGTCAAGGCGGGTGGGGCTGGCCATTCGATGGACGCCCCCAAACCCATAGGGGGAGGCAATCCAGGTACGTAGAGTATCTCTTGATGTCGCGTTGTGTTGGTATGTCTTATGTGTGTGTCGGTGTGGTGTGGGTGTGTGTGCCAGGTGGCCACGGCCCAACACACCCACAAGTGGCCACAGGTGCTTGTCCCAGGTGAGTGAGGAAGGAGACAAGCTGACTACATGAATGTGCGGCGCCACGCGACCCACTCCGTGCTGTCTGTCTCTGTCCTGTCTGTGTCTGTGATGGTGGCCAGCGCCCGCCCGTTGACTCACCCCAACCATCATTCCCCCCATCTACACCAACACACACCCACTCTACTGCCGCCGCTGCTGCCTTCACCCGCAGCAGCGGCGGCGGCAGCAGCAGCAGCATCGTGCTATGGACCACAGAGGGACAGCAATCAGCACTACTGGGGTGGTATTAGTGATGGCTCGTATCGAGCGGCCCCCTATTGAGCGACACACTAGCGGGCGGCAGTAGACAGACAGGGAGGTAGAGGGAGGGAGGGAGGGAGTTCTTGTGAACAGATTTGGTGTAGACGGATCAAATGTGATGCGAGCCCGATTCTTGGCTCATGCGACAGCGTGTGTCGGAGGGCAGGGGGACATAGTGAGTTGAAGAGATTCGCATTGTGCGTATTTCTCTGCCTGCGTTGTGCCCTTCAACAGTGTCTTCTATCTTGCGCATGTGTGCATGTGCATGTGTGTGTGTGTGTTGACCGGAGGTGCTTCATATACAGCATAGTGTCTGCATGTTAATATGTATGTAAGCACCTCTCACTCATCGCTCGATTCATCGTTTGTGTATGCGGGGTGGGGTGTACACACCTGGCCTGGCAGGATGCAATGACTCTCACAGACAGGTAGGTGTACACACATGTATACGTATCAACCGCTGTCCAAAGGGGGGAAGGGAGAGAGAGAGAGAGAGAGAGGGTGCGGGCGTCGGTGTGCATGTGGTCCCACCCACTGACTCTCCGGTGTATTTGTCTTTTATTGCGTGACGTACGTGTGCCGTATGTGTGCATTGAAGGGCTTTCTGACGGTGCGGTGGCGTCTGAGTGACACGAAGAGAGAGTGAGTGCGGGCGGGGGTGGGTGCGTGAGCTCTCTGGGGCGCCTCACTCTCATGCAGTCAGTGCATCTGTGTGCATGTGTGCCATAGATTTAAGGGCTTTTCGGCGTCGAGGAAGGACATCGGATGGCGTGATGAGGGCTCATGTGTGCCAGACAGTGAGTGACCGCTCAACTGATGGACTCACTGTTTTGAGTAGGACGGACAATCGAACTCACAAATACACTCATGGCGCGATGGATGGATCAGTCCATCTGTCTGTCCATCCAGCCCCTCACGTCTGTTGGTTCCAAAAAAGATTGATTGACTCACTCACTCTCACACAAGGCCACTACCGCACCGCAGGCCGCGCCACACCTTCATCATAACGACACAGAAGGTACGTCACAGCCCTTAAATTCACATGCACACATATCACGCAACATACACAAATATTCCTTGCAGCCCGACACGCACGCCCCTCCACCCGCACTGTCTCTCCCTGGCTCTCTCGCCTCGCCACACAAACTGGGATCCCTTGGGAGCAGCAACAACTGGCATCAAGACGCTACATACACACATACAATAAGGCACACATCTGGCGCACAGCAAGGCTCAGCAGATTCATGGGTGGCCGGTGGAATGATCCAGCGGTCCAGTCCACGAATGCGTCATGGCCCCTCACTGCTCGACAACAGATGAGTGCACGTTCTCTCGCAGCCCGTCCCGTCCGACGCCTTGATACAAAAGAAAGGTCACAGCGATAGCAGGAGCCAGATGTAGATCACCCAAAGGCGATTAGACGCACACACACACACACACATTGCACACGTGACGCAATAGATACAAATACACTTTCCACTCGTTGGCAAAGACCGGACAGCGGGTGGGTTGGGGGGTGGGTGAGGCCACATGCACACACCCACACACCCACGCCGGCACTCTCTCTCACTCGTCAGGCTACCGTACCTTACCTTTGGGCATACACGCACACCTGTCTGTGAGGGTCGTTCGCATCAAGGCACACCATACACACATACACACACAGTGAGACAGCCATTCTGACTAACATGCTGACATGCTGCATATAAAGCCGCCAGCCAAGACAGGAAGGAACGCATTTAGATATACAAATACACTCACACACACACACGCATGCACTCGCTGAGCATGTCCACGCCGTATGCCTCTGCAGACCTACTTACTGGCTAAGGAAAGACAGACCCCCTTGGATCACCCTCCCTCCCTCCCTGCCTCCCTCCCTCCCTCCGTCTCTCCCATCACCCACTCACTCCCAAATCAGCCACGTGCGGGCGATGGCAAGAACGTGGTTGGAAAATGCATGGCCTGCACTATGCAGCTGTGTTGCATCTTGTCAGTCACGCAACTCACACGCGACATTGTGGAGCTGCGGAAGAAGTACTCGTGCCGCATCAGCCCACGACGGCGCACATACAAAAACACACATCCACACACGTGCCCACTCATGCGCCAGCCGAGTAGGTCTGAGCCCTGTGCGTCCGCAGACCTACTGGCTAAAGACAGACACCCTTTGGTCGCACCACCCTCCCTCCCTCCCTCTCTCCCATCACTCACCCACTCCCGATTCAGCCACGGGGCTCGTGAAACATGACCTGCTGCAAAAACCGTGCCGGGTGGAATGGAGACCACAGCCCCCCTGCACGCCCCATCAATGCCCCCCGACATCACGCACGCATCCACCCATCTTCTGTCCTTCACGCGACATCCAGACTGTTCTTGGGTTTGGATGAGTTGCGCCTCGAGTACTGCAAGGGGTAGAACTCCTCGCCCCGCACCAGCCCATGGCGGCACGGCGCGTTGACACGGTGCGCCTGGCACAGACATATGAGCGAGAGAGAATGCGTGCACGGATTTGTCGACCCACTCGTTTCTGCAAGCTCACCTCGAGGAACTCACTGGCTTCGTCGACGGTGCTGAACTGAATGAAGCACAGCCTCTGAACCGCATCGCTCTCCCCCGCTTCTCGGCGGACATCCAAAGGAGGATTGCAGCTTGCAGGCAGCCCCTGTCCATGTGGGCAGACAGACAGACAGACAGACAGACAATTAACACACAAGCGGGGGGGGGGGTGCCTACACACGTACCTCTGTGGCCAGTTTCTCCAGTTGGCATAGAGGGTCATGGGGGGACCACCCCTCAACCACTATCTGCAGCGATGTCACACACACAAGACAGACAGACAGAGACCACCAATGAGGTCGCATGGTTGTGTGTGGTGTTTGCTGCCTACTGTGTCTGTTGCCTTCTCATTCGGTGGGCTCCTGGCTCGCGGAATCGGCGAGCGTGAGCGTGACCGATTGCAGCGACGGGGCGACGGCGACCAGGGATGAGGTGGGCGTCGAGGTGAGGGGGGGCCATGCGGCCGGCCAAAAGGCGGCCTGACACACACCATAGCACGCAGGCAAGTGCTCATCGACATCTGACCACCACACGTTGTGTCCATGTCGAATCAAGAGTCAGACATCTCACCCATCTCTGCCAGCGCTGTCCGATCGGTCTGACCGCGCCCGCCGTCCACGTGAGAAGGGACGAGGCGACAGTCGGCGGCGGGGAGGAGGAGAGCGCCGGCCCGCATAGCCCTGATGGATGCAAGTATGCCGTGAGGGAATGGCAGTTACTTGTGTGTGGTGCCCGCCTTCCCAGGCACACACCTGTCGGTGTGATTGTCGGTCATCCCGTCTGTAGTCGTCATGGGGAGAGTGCGGTCGGCGGCCGCTGCGGCCCCGGTGGCCCGCCACACGCGACGCAGGAGGGGGCACTGAATGCAGGCATGCACCAGACAGATCATATACATATGGCATCAGGCAGCACAGTGTGGTTCGGTGCGGTGTGTGTGTTGTGTGCTCACGTGGGCCCTCGTATCGATGTCCGCGACCCGGGCTGCGACTGCGACGATCCTGCACCGATCCATCCATCCCACACACACACACACAAGTACGATTACTCGGCGATCATGAAGCAGGCAGGTCAGCCGGCAGCTCACTTACCTCGTGTCGGTAGCGGTCACGTGAGCGCGAGCGACGACGGCTGATGAACAGACCGACAGACAAACAAACAGACAGACAGACAGACAGGCCAGCAGCCAGGATGGGTGGGTGTCTGGATCATGTGATCTGTCTGGGCGGTAGGCGTACTCTCTCCCCCTTGGCCGCTCTGTGGAGCGGCCGCCCTCATCCTCATCGTCATGGTCGTTGTCACGGCTACGGTGACGGTGGCCTCTGGCTCTGTCGGCAGATTGCAACACGCGGCCACGGGGGGAACGAGAGCGGTCAACAGAGCCTGCTGCTGGACGTGGGACGTCTGGGTGAGTGAAATCACACACAGCACATCACCACAGTGTGTGTGTGTGTATGTGTGTCAGCCCTCGTGGTGAGCGTGCCGTTAGCAGCATGTGCGCACCCGGAGGCGGGTCTGCTGCGTCGTCTTGCTCCTGCTTGATGACAGGCAGTGCCTTGGGCACCCACAGGCGGCCCTGCGTGTGCAAGGCACACCGACACACCGACACCGACACCGACACACACGCACACGCACACGCACACGCACACGCTGAGACGGTCGACTTGAGGGCTGTTTGACTTACGTTGTGCTCATTGTATATCTTGTGTACCCAGTCGGAGAGGTCGAGTGCCTGTCCGACGGTGTTCCCCAGAAATTCGGTGTTGATCTGGGGCGCCGTCTTGCCCATCATCTTCTGCTATTGAGACCCCTTAAAGCCACTCTGCAGAGAGATGACACACACAAACATCTAGCCGTCTGTCTGTTTCTCTGTCTGCCTGTCTGCCCCCACATACCTTTCTGACGATCTGCAGCACGCTTCTTGCCAGCTCGCTCTCATCCCGCTCCAGCGCTTTAACCAGCTGCTGGTGGTCGAGGTTGACCAGCTGACGCTCCAGATACCCAGCAGGCACACTCTGCTTCCTCTGCGGCGGCCTCCGGGCTCTGGCCTTGGGGGCACCTTGCTGCTGTTGGTTGGCACCCCCACCGCCCGTGGCTGCCCCTGCGCCGGCCTCAGTCTTGACTCGGCCACGGACACGAGCAGCGGCCGCCTCCCCGCCCTGCCCCCCTCCTTGGTCTGGCCGATTGCCGCCCGGCTGCCCTCCCTCATCCCTGGTCGACACAGCGGCCGCCTGGGGCGGTGACTCGTCCCCACTAGGCACGGTTGCAGGCCTGTCTTCACCGTTTGGTGGACGGCTCGACGGTGCCTGTGGTGCGGGTGATGGTGCTGCGGCGGCATGTGCTGTGCCATCGACCTGTCGACCCTCTTGTTGTTGCTGCTGCTGCTGCTGCTGCCTGTCATGCATCGCGTCATCCTCGTGCTGCTGCCGGTGGTCGCGTGCCTCTGGTTGCTCGTCCTGGTTGCCGTTCATCTGCGGATCCTCTTGCGGCTGCTGGTGCTGGGGATCGTGCTGCGCGTCGGGCACGGCGTCATCGTCGTGCTGCTGGTCCTCATCGGCCGCTAGTGGCTGTGGCTGCGGCTGCTGTGGAAAGAGCACAGCCTCGCCCTGGGGCATCTGGTTGGTGGCGTCATCCATCGGTGCGTCCTCAGCAGCCGACACAGGGGTTGTGGGGCCGCCTGCAGCCGGCTGGAGAGCCATGGGGGCGGCAGCTGGTGGTGGCGGGGGCACAGGGGGAGGGCGATGCGGCGGTGCAGCCGAGTTCGCCGGGGGACGAACACTTGACGGAAATGGAAACACAACAAGACGTAAAGGATCGCTGGGCGCTGTCCACTCACTCATGCAATCACCTGGTTGGATGTATGGCCCGTTGTGACTCCTGGCGGCAATGGGGGGCCTTCCACAGCAATGCCGCCGTGATCTGTCCCCAACATGCAGCCATCGAGAGAAATATGCATCTGTGCATCACTTCGGCCGTCTGTTCGTGTGTCCGAGCGCACCGTAGAAGTATGGCGGTGGTGGCCAGAACGGGGGAGGCGGATGGTCGAAGGGCCACATGGGATGCCAGGGGAAGGGCGGCCCATTCGCGGCAGCAGCCGCCATCGCATGTTCGTCCACTTGCTGCTGCTCGCCGTCGCCCATCTCCTCAGCCACTGCATTCACCCATTTACGCAACCAGAAGGTCTCGTGCAGTCCAAACGGTCTCTTTGGGTGGGTGTCCCACCTGCTGGCGCCCGTCGCCTGACGTTGTTGGCCTTGGCCTTGGCCTTCGGCTTGACCCCTGCGACACACACATACAGGCGGAACCCGCCCGCCATGCTTCCGGTTGTGTGTGTGTGGAAGCCAGCCAGCCACTTACTTCGCTGGACGAACACTCTTGTGCCATCCTCGTCCTCGTCGAAGTAATCGTGGTGGTCGGGAGGGTCTTCAATCGCCCTCTTGGCCTTCTGGCAAAGGGTGTTAAAGTACCAGCCCATAAGGCTCTTCCTCTTGCGTGCCGAACGGGTCACGACCTCCGGCACGTAAAAGGCCTCGCCGTTGCTGTCGGTGAAGGGGCCCATGGTGACGGTCACGGCGTCTTGGTCGGGGGTTTGGTGGGGGATGGGTGTGAAGGTGAGCTGCACGTCCGGGTGGGACTGGCGGAGGCGGGCGAAGATGCTTCTGCTGTACCGCTTCTTGGTTGCGGTCATCTCGTAGTGCTGTCTGCAGGAGGCGCAGAGGTGGTCATCCGCCTGACCCCTGCAGCAGCAGCGGCGGCCGGCACAACACTGGCACCACCAGCAGCAGCAGCGGCAGCAGGTACACCGTCCTCCTGCTCACCCTGCTCCTTCTCCTCGATGGCGAGCTCCTGATGCTCAGCCAGATCTGCATGACAGACACATGAGTCCACCATGAACCACACAAGACAGGTCATGGTGTACAGTGAATACCATCTTCGCCGGGCGTGTATTCCTCATCGCCGTCGCCACCGTGCTTGCCCTTCATGGCCTTCTGGCGGGCAAGGACGATGCGACGGTCCTCCTGTTTCCCTTCACCACTACCACCACCACCAGCACCACCCTCTTCATCACCCTGGGCATCCTCTTCATCCTTGTCGGTCACTGAAGTCAACAACAACACACACCGCGATGACGGACATCTACGAGTCGGTACGGCTTACCACTTGAGAGTGAGAGGTCTGCTGCCGCGGCCGCGGCGACCCCTGCTGCCGCTCCTCGACCATCGCCCTCGCCACACGCCCCACCGCTCTCGACTCCCTGACCTCCACCAGAGGGACCGCCAGACTCGATGGTGCCGCGATGGTTCTGAGGTGTGCGGGGGTCGGGGGACGGCTGGTTGGTGGGCTGCGGGGGATCCTGTGGGGGCGGCGACTGCCCAGGAATACCAGCTGGCGATGGGCTGCCGTGTGCGTGGGGTGTCTGGGGTGCGGTGGATGCCATTCGCCCTGGGCCTCCAGCGGTTGTCCTGGGAAGCTCACGCATGACGTCACTGGCACCTGGTGACAGCACACAGCAGCCACAGAGAGTATGGCACATTTCATGTGTTTGTGTGAGTCTGCGGACGGATCTTTTCATGACTGGTGTACCCGATGACGCGGGCGCCTTTGGCGCGTCGCCCCGACCGCTCATCGCGGACAGATCTGACCCTTCGGCCCTGCGGCTGGACGAGCCGGGCCCACTGCCCCAGTGGCTTCGTCAATCGAGACGGAAGATGAAGGAAAAGATCAAAGCATTTCCCACTCAGCAGATGATTGACAGCCCAACAGGAAAGATGCCAATGCCTCCGTGGCCCTTCTTCCCAGCCGTCCTCTGCGAGCTTAGAGGAGCGGCCTTTGGGTCTGGTGTGAGAATGGATGCGCGCCGTCTGTTGATTCTGTACGGCAGCCAGACGGGCTGTGCGGCTGAGGTGGCGGCAGACCTGGCACGCGAAGGCCGTCGACGACGGTTCGAGTGCCGCCTGCTGCCCATGGATAACTTTGACTATGAGAGCTGCCGACACGAGATCACCGTTGTGTTCGTCACATCCACTACTGGTGCGTATGAGTGAAGGGAGAGATCAGCCGGTGATTTCTGTCTGTCTGTCTGCCTGGTGTGCATGTCTGTCTGCAGGTCAGGGTGATGCGCCTGACAACATGCGCAAGTTCTGGACGTACCTGAGGAGAGGCAGCCATCCGCCCAACCTCCTCAGAAACATCAGGTGAGTCAGTCAGCCACGGCCGCTCTTATGTGTGGTGATGGTGTGCATGGGTATTGGCACCTGTCAGGTTCTCTGTGTTTGGTCTGGGCGACTCGCACTATCGGCAGTTCAACTATGCGGCAAGGCGGCTGCACAAGAGGCTTCTGCAGCTGGGGGCACACGAATTCTACAGGTCAGCGCGGACGAAGCGACCAGCTATGTGGCCCAAAGTGATGTCTGCTTTTGTTCGTTCTTGCAGGATAGGTCTGGGTGACGACCAGCACGACTTTGGCTTTGAGGGCGAGTTGGACCCCTGGATGGAGGGGCTCTGGGAGGCCCTCCTCGCCATCCACCCCATCCCCGACGGCCTCACCATCCTCCCAGACGATTCCATGCCCGAGCCGATGTATCGCTCACGCGTGGTCTCCACGGGGGCCAGGAGTGGCACGTCGTCATCGGCGTCATCCTCATCGTCGCATGGGCACTTCAAGTTTCCCTTCGCGCATGAGAATGATGGCCGGGGCGGCGAGAGGATCCGGTGGACACAGGTCATGGATCTGAGGCGCCTGACAGAGGAGAGCCATTTCCAGGACGTGCAGAATCTGCACCTGAGGGTGAGTGAGCGGGAGAGGAGGGAGGCAGGGGAGACGGGATGGTATGTTTGTTCAGTTGAGTGTGTTTGTTCGTTCAGTTGAGCTGCGATTCGTCTGAGAGGAACGATACCATTTATGTGCCTGGAGATGTGGCCATCGTATGGCCTTCCATCGACCCAACGTATGCCCCACATTCCCCACAAAGCGATGCAAAACTGCTCAAAAAATGCTCATAGAACTGCTCAATCCGCTCTCTCTCTCTCTCTGTCTCTCTCTCTGTCTGCCTGTCAGGCTGGTCGATTCTTTCCTGGAGCACCAGAAGTTGAACCCCAACCAAGTGATCCAGATCACGCCCACGGCAGCCCTGGACCGGCGCAACCCCTTCCCCCCTCCCCCCACCTCCCTCTCCATCCGTGACGTCTTTACACTTTACCTGGACATCACAGCGGTGCCGCCACGATTCTTCTTTCACTACCTCTCGTTCTTCTCCACTGACCAACAGCACTGCGAGAAACTGCGCGAATTCGCCGCACGCACACTGGTGGCCAAACAAAGAGGGGGCCGATGGACGGGTGGATGGCGGATGGTCTTTGGGTTGATGTGTGCGTGCAGGAAGCGAAGGAGGAGTACTATGAGTACTGCAAGACAGAGCGGCGGACCTTCGCTGAGGTCCTGTGGGACTTTGGGAGCGCATCGCCGCCCCTCGACCACCTGCTGAGCATGATCCCACCCATACTGCCGCGCAAATACTCGGTCGCATCTGCACCGCAATGGTCAGCACACACACTCACATCCGTCTATCCCCATCTGAGACTGTCTGTTGATGGATCAGGTATCGCAAGGATGTCTGGCGAGCTCTGGCGCTGTCGAGTATGCCGCAGCTGCGGACCCCCCTGACCACCCCACCCACAGGCGGCGGCATGGCTCTGCCCCTGCACATCACCAAGCTGACGGCCAGCCGCCTGCCGCCCCCTCCTGCGCCGTGCATTGGTGTCATCGGCGGAGGTGCTGGTAGCCATGACGGTGTCAGGAGTGAAGGAGCAGGTGGGTTTGTGGACCTCGACCTCTGTGCGGCGATGGTCGAGTACACCACTGGGTATGATCGCCACATTGTGGGTCTCTGCAGCCAATTCTTTCGACGACTCAAGGTGAGTGAGCCATGCCGCGATGCCCCTTCTGCGCGTGTCACGTTCTGGTGACGGTCTAGTCAGTGGGTGCGTGTGTGCGGCGTGTGTGTGTTCAGGCGGGCGATTGGATTCCTGTGGGCATTGAGCGGAGCGGTGGCATCCAGCGCGTTCCTGAGCTGTCGGTGCCGCTCATTATGGTCTGCCCGGGCACTGGCCTGGCGCCATGCAGAGCCGTCATACAATACAGACACCTGCAATGTACGCAACCCAGACAGCCACCACCAAAACACCATGGCCTGCTCTCGCCTTCGTGTGTCAGTGCTGGAGCTGCACAGCCGCACAGCGACCTCCCGCACCACTAGAGACAATGACCACCAGTCTGCTGCCCAGCAGCCGGCGAATGGCGACCTTCACCATCCGTCGACCAGCCCGCCCCACAAGAGCCCTCGAGACATGCTGTTCCTCGGCTTCCGTCACCGCGAGAAGGACTACCTGTATGAGGCCGAGTGGGGCCGCTACTCGGGGTGGCTCGATGTCGAGGTGGCCTTCTCGCGCACAGACCCCTATAGGAAGGAGTACGTGCAGGACTTGATTGAGAGGCGGGGCGGCGATGTGGTGGATCTGCTGCTGCGGCGAGGGGCGGTGGTGTACGTGTGCGGCCGGGCGCACCCGATGCCCTCGCAGGTGTGGGACGCCTTTGTGGAGGTGCTGGGTGTGCATGGCGGGATGAGCAAGGAGGACGCCAACCGCTTCCTGCTGCAGCTGCAGGCCAAGAGGCGATACATATGCGACACCTGGGGATAAACCGGACGGATAAACAGGGGTGGGTGTAGATGGTCGTGTGGATGGTTTTGACTTTTTGCGTGTCTGCGTGCATGTGTGAACAGCAGTCAGTCAGAGTGGTCAGTCTCACGCACTCGTCACTTGCAACAAAGAGACTCATGTGAGTATGTGTGTATGTATGTATGTGTGTATGTATGTATGTATGTGTAATTGTGCGTGAGGAAACTTCGATCTTGCATCAACCAATTGGTGCAGCTGAGGCACAGGCAGACAGGAACGCGCGAATGATGCTTCACGGCTGATTGATTCGAGATGTGTCGCTCACTGTTCGCTCTCTTCGCTTCTTTCACTCTGAGTGTGGCTGCTGTGACGTCGACTCTGTTTGGCGCTGAGAGCATGGCTGCACAAGACAACAAGTCGCCCAGTAAGCAGACAAGCAAACAAGCAAGGACACACACAGGGTGGAGTGATTGCGTGTCTCTGTGTGCGAGCATTAATTCAGGTCGTCGTGGTGTTTTCGCAGCCGACTCTCTCGGTCTCGCCCACGGTAGAACGTCATGAATGACCATTGACACGACATTGGTCTCTCTCTTTCTCCATTCATTCATTCATTCATCCATCCATCAGGGTCACTTCCTGCTCTCGGGTTCACGCAGGGTACACTTACACTCACTCACTCACGCACAGGCCAGCCAGCCAGTCTCTCACGCATCTCTCTCTCTCTCTCTCTGTCTCTCTCTCTCTCTCTCTCTCTGTGTGTGTGTGTGTGTGCATGTCTCTCTCAGAGTCCGTCTCCGCAACGCAAATTCGCCGAGCCTGCGCAACTTTGGCGATAGCATCGTGAGCAGCACGGTGAACTCGCCAGGTCGCGCGCCCTTCCCCTCACTGGTGAATCGTCACACCCCCGCCTTTGAGCCCGGACGCCCCCGCCGCACACCGTCCCCTGAGCCTCGCCGCATAGCGTCGCCCATTCCCCATCGCAGGGCTGAAGGCAAGGAATGTGATGTGGATGGGATGGGTTCTGATGTGTGTGGATGTTGGTCGTGTGTGTGTCTTGCTTGTCATCAGTGGAGTTGGGTTCGGACGTGGACATGACTGGTACAAGCAAAGCAAGCGACCAATCCAAAATTGGGTGTTTGTGTGTGTTTCCAGCGGTTTTGAGGGCCATTCGCGACCTGGATCGACGCGTGGCCACGCTGGAAGGACTGAGGAATGTCGACAAGTAACCGCAGTCCATCTGTGACGCCGACCATCTGTGTGTGTGCAGTGTTCAGACCAGGTCGATCGCTGTTCAGGCCAACCTGTCGGCCGACGACTCCCACGACGACAACGACAGCGGCAACAAGAACGATAACGCCGACAAGTATGCACACACACACACACACACAGAGAGAGAGAGAGAGAGATACAGATGGATGGATGAATGGATGGATGGATGGATGCCGCTCAGTTCTGATGACGAGTCCTGTTCTGACGATGACGAGATTCTCAACAAACGATTCGTGCCACTGTCAGGTAAGATGACGACAGATAACGTGCCTTGCATGTATCGTGTCGATGTATGCAGAGAGCAAGTTGGCCCGTCTGCGACGAAGAACACCCACATACACGCAAGCTGCAAACCGCCATGCACACTAGACACCATGTGCGTGCGTGTTTGTTTGTGCGTGTGTGCACAGACGGAGACGAGCCAGTACAGTTCGGCGTGTTTCATCAGGACATGACGGGGACGAGAGTGAGCGATGACCAACACATCACGGACACAGAGGGTCCATCCACTTCTGTGTCAGGCATTCCGCGACGAGCGCGCGCAACAGGGCTCGACAATGACCCATAGCGAGGCGCACAACTTCGGAAGAAACCCGCGTGGCAAGCGGATGAAGGATACAGCCCTCGCCGCGGCTGCTGCCCAAGGAAGATGCCACAATGAGGTTGGCTGACGAGCCATGGATGGATGGATGGATGTGTGTTGTGTTGTGTTGTGGTGTGGTGTGGTGTGTGTGTGTTGTCAGACATGGGAGGAGTGGCTGGAACGTGTCGCCAAGGCGCGTGTGTCCCTGCTCGACGAGGAAGTGTTTCGCTTCAACCGCGGTCAGTCATACAGACAGACAGACGGATGGTGCATGTGGATCGAATCACGTGTGTGCGTGCGCTCTGTGCAGATGTGTTTAAGTGTTTAAGTGGCTCAGCATCAACCAGCCTGACCTCGTACTCGGCCACAACTGTGTGCTCAGACACAGTGCCCATGGCGTGTGTTTGCGTGTGTGCAGTTCAACTCGTGGTGCGCTCGTGAGTTCGGAGTGAGTTTCGCTGAACTGTCTGCGGCCTACGACAACAATGTGAGTATATACCACAGACACACCCACACACACGCAGACACAATGAATGTGTGTTGTGCGTTCACGCAGGAGGCATTTGCGACAGGCGACGAAGGCAACGAAGGCAACAAAGGCAACGAAGGCAGCAACTGAGGTGCCCCACCAACACCCAAAGTGCACGGCATTTGTGTGTGCACGTGTTGTGTGGCTGCTGTCATTCTTCAGTTGGTGTTCGTTCAAGTTGGTGGATTTGGTATATCAGTTGGAGAGAGCGCACATATCACTGACAAACGACGTGAAAGCGCACATATCACTGACAAACGACGTGAAAGGATGCATGAAAGGACTCTCATGATGTATGAGCGGACGATCGTGAACGTAATGGTCTGACGCCACGTGTCCGGTCAATCAACATACGCACATTCCACATACGCACACAACCACCCACATACACACCACCGTATCAACAGACACCCACACCCGCGACAGACAAGGCAACACAACGCGACAGACAGACAGACAGCCAACCGGTGCAGTAGAGAAGTGCCGGTGGGACAGAGCAGTGAGGCGGTCAGGCAGCTATGTGGGCATGCATACAGAACGAGGTGGATAAGAGAGAGAGAGTGGAGAGCGATGTATCCATTGCACTGTATCTTCATCCACCCATCCATCCACTGTCATTCATTCTGATGTGTGTACCCCCACCTCCAGCGCCAGCGTCACATCACCGCTCCTCGCTTCAACACGCCAGGGGCGTGGCCATGGACAAAGAAGGAAAAGACAGTAATGGCCTGACTGTGGTGGGAGGTGGGTAGTGTAGAGACGAACTCGAACCAACAACATAAACTCAGAATAGGCTCTAGCTAGAAGGGAGACAGACAGATCGAGGACGCACGCACTCACAGCCAGCACGGCATTCATCCATGCATTCCCACACGACAGCCCCACGCCTCACATATCTGTCAGTGGATAGCGAGTGCCCAATGCTTTGCATATGTGTATCGGTATCGGCAGGCAGCGCACAGATGGCACGACGAAGCACGGCATGCAGACCGCGCCATACAAACACACAACAAACCTCATTGACGGCAGCTGCACCACAGAGGCACAAGCAGGGTGGGGGTCAATGCCATTCATCACACTGCATGACACATGACGTACAAAGACCAGCGATCAAGACGGTACATGCCTCACACGAGCGAACAATCGGCTGCCACGTCTCTTATAAATCCAGCACCCATCCATCCATCCATCCATCCACACACGCTCACGCAGCCCCTGAGCAATGGCTGTCAGTGCGTCCTAACTGCCTGGGTGGCACATCCCACGTTCACGCGGCGACCACAGCTTAAAGGCTGTCTGTCGGCCACGCACGCGCCCATGAGAGGCCAGTCGACCAGCCAGCCGCACGGCCCATCCATATCAGAGTTCACGCCTGCACCAAGGATGGGATGGTGCATGACGCGCCCCCTGACGGCGGACACGTGCACAGATGACTGCAGCAAAAACCCTTACCCCCAAAGCACTCTTTATCCATCACATTAACACGACAGGTACATCCGCCAGACGCGTGTGTGCGAACAGTACCAGGCAGCCATGGCACTCACAGCCAGTCAGAGAGAGGTCACAGGCCTGGTGGTGGTGGTGTGTGGAGACCCACGCGTGACGGACAGACCACCAACAAATCATCATACAGCCACACGCCAATCGCCAGCAGACATCCACAACAAACGGTGAATAAAGCAACACATGAGTTCCCCTCCATCACACCCAGACACGCCACACCATGAGGTGGCAAACACCGGACACACGACAGCCAGCCGAACGACACACAGACAGGCACACTCGACATTCCATGCCGTGGCCGTGCCGATGAGCGGGCGTAGTAGAAAAGGGGCAGCTGTTTGCTTGTGTGCGCGTGGGTTGAGGTGCTGGGGACGTGTGCAATCGATGAGAGCAGAGAGAGACACAGCGACGCATATCAGTCGGCCACTCTGTCGATGAGAGAGGGAGGTCAGTGTGCTACTCAACATCAACTCAGTGGGGGGCAGCACCGAGCAGCACACTCACTTAGAGAAGGCCAGGCTAGGCTGGAAGGGAGAATAGCAAGGCAGTCAGGCAGCCAGACGGAAAAAGGGCATCGAGTCGACGTCCTCTATGTTGTGTGTGGGTGAGTGGATGGATGAGTGGACCCATGTGTGTGTAGATGTGTGGCACGGCACGGTACGGCAAGCAGACCACACAACGGACCTTTCACGCCCTCGCCTCATCACATCCGTGCACGACACCGCATAAACATGGCCAGAGATCAACACAAGACGAAAAATGCTCGCTTTTCTCCCTCATCAGCTCCACAGCCAGCGACTTGTGCATCGACAGACAGACACTCGAATGCTTCGTCACGCTCCTTGGTCACTCGATCCAGATCGACCCTCATGGACGCCAGCTGCTGGGGAATAGGCGTGTGTGTCTGGGGTGGTGTGTCGGTCTCGACGCTGGCTGTGCGATGGGCTGTGGTCTTCCGATGCACCGGCTTCGTCTGCTGCTGATGTACAGTACCACCCCATTCCAGCCAGAGCGACCGTCTTGACCCCCATACATGTACCTCCCCCCGCCACCGCCCCCGTGAAGTCCACCTCTGAACGCTTGATGGCCAGGCCCCCTGCTGCAGCAGCTGCGGGGGCGGGTTGGGGACTCTCCCCCTCCTCCTCTTCCCGCACGGCCATGGACGCTGGTCTGGGTGATGAAGACGCCTCGCAGCTGAAGGGGGACACCCAGTCGCCCGACCAGTGCCGCCACGTCCAGCGTGCCGTTGAGCCCCAGGGAGGCCGGTGTGGTCATGTTGGGGCCGATCACGAGCTGGGCGAACGTGGCGAGACCGGTGCCGTCGTCTTCCGGCACTCAGAGTGTTGTTCACAATGCGCATGGCCAGCGTGACACTGGAGGACACGACGGCCAGCCCGATGGGCGCGGATGCGGTGTCCCGATGGGTGTCCCGATGGGCGCGGATGCGGTGTCTGCGGGCGATGACGCGAGTCCGATGGATGCGTTGATGGCGTCCCTCACCACGACTCACGCTACTTCATCTTCTTACGCACATCTGACGACGAACAGACGGGCGGACAAGTGGACAGACATGAGTGCAATGGAACACATCAAGGGCTCCCCCACCCCATGTCATCTTACCGTTGATAGTATCTTGGATGTATTGGTGTACCCTGCCCATCATGGCCTCCTCCCCCATCCCATCACCCTTGAGGGCCTCCGAGCAGCAAAGCTCGAGCAGCTCCACCGCCCGCTGCTGAAAGGTGCTCTTCGCTCGTTGGGCCTTCGCGATCGCCGCCTGCACACCCGCCTCGTACCAGCCCCGCACTATCCCCTCGTTGAGATCAGAATCGCCAGCCAGGCACCCCTCAATCAGCCCGTCCCTCTGCCGCTGCACCGCCGCAACAATGCGACCGACGTCCTTCACACTGAAGGCCAGCAGGAGCACCATCCAGGCCACCGACACGTAGTCGGTGTAGTGGTGGATGGGGAAGCTCCTGTTGCACAGCAGGCCGATCAGGTGGAACGGTGTGTCGCAGGGGGCGGGGGGCTGGGTCCGTACGTCCCTCGCCGTGCCGCTCTCCACCGCACTCTTGTCTCGGGCGGCTTCGTAGTCGATGATGGCGACTTGAGCGGTGGCGGGGCTGCGAATGAGGACGTTTGACCAGTGGAGGTCATCGTGGAGAATCCCGATCCGGTGCAGGGAGAGCATGGCCAGGAGGATGTTGACTCCCATGATGGCGCAGTAGAGGGCGTCTGCACGAAGGGCGGGGTTGAGTGGGCTCGCCTGGCAGATGAAGTCCCACACAGTATGCCCTGCATGAGTATAGACATACACAGAGACGCACGACATGTCGATGGCCGTGTGGACGGCTGTGTGTGCGATTGTCGCGCCATACCTGAGCCAATCTTCTCCATGACCATGCAAACGCCCGCACCAGGTATCTTCTTCACCTCCAGGCAGCTTTCCACCACCGGCCGCAGCTGGGGCAGATCCGATGCCGTCCCCAGCAGCTTGGGGGCCATCCAGGTGGTGCCCGGCCGCTTGGCTGACGGGCGAATCTGCGGGTCGTAGAGGTACTGCGGCAGCACCAACTCCTCCTCAATGGCCATGTTGATGGCCTGCAGACACGCCGCTTCGCCCACCAACGTGTCCACCAGGTGCTCGACAAACATGGCCCCCTTCTCCGTCTGATCCGTCGTGATGAAGTTCATCACGGCTGGCGTGCGCCGCCCCTGCCCGACGAAGTCTCCCTCCCACAGAGCAAAGACCCCCCTCCCGCCGCTCAGCTGCCTGCCACACTCGAATGTGGCGGTGGGGCTGACCGCCAAAGCGGTGCCGGCAAGGAGAGGGGGGTGGAAAGGGGGGATTGTGGCGAGTGCTGCCCGGGGCTGTGATGCCGCTGGCGACCCCGCTCCAGCAGAGCTGCCGTCATCAGACGCGCCTGCACCTGCAGCAGAGGAGACAATCAGCCCATGGGTCATTGGACACCGAAATCATGTGATATAGTGTGTGCGTACCTGTCGACTCGTCGCTTGCAGGGGACGGGGATCCCTCCTTCAAGTCGCTGCTACACAATGGGAGTGTCGCTGGCTCGCCCTTGCCCTCTCCCCGTTCCTCTCTCTCCCGCTGCTCGATTGGCGTGATGACCGGCTGGTTGCTGAAGAAGGCCGCCAGTGGAAAGTTGGGAGGGGGGCTCTTGGTCTCAACTCGACGGATCGACGTCGATGGTGGCCTCGGTATCGACCTGAATTGAAAGGGACAGATGGTCCACAAACAAAACGAACTGTTCAGGTCTGTTCGTGGACTTGTGTGTGGTCTTACCTCTTGTGTGTGTATGGTGGCGGCGATGGGTCTCTTGCTCGCGACTGCTCCATTGGCACCATAGGCAATGGCGGCGGCGTGTCGGCTCTCGGCGTCCGTGGCCGCGCCATGATCATCGCCCTCCTCCCCCGGCCGGCAACGTACTTGGCGGCGGGCGGCTGGCTCGACAACAAGGGCGGCTCATCGTCTACGGATGCTATCATCTCCTCCTCGTTCTCCTTGCCCTCGTAGTTCTCCTCCTCAAGGACTATCTCCCTCTCTCTCTCCTCCTCTCGAGAGAATGCGCCACCGCAACACCCCTCACTAAGCAGAAATCCCCGTCCCTTAGTCCGCTGCTGCTGGTGCCGCATTCTGACGCCTGCCTCCCGCGGCGGTTTCTGTCGTGCTGAAGGGTGGACGGGGGGGCGCACGTTGGTGCCGCTGGGGGTGAGAGGGACAGGCGCCTGGGATGCCGGCACAGCGATGCAGGGATGGTCCTTCGCTCGGGCGCTGCCAGTTCTGGCGCTGCCACGTGCGGCAGAGGTGGCTGGAGGCCACGGCGGGTGGAAATAAGCCGGATGTGGCTGTGCGGCCGCAGGCGCTCCAGCGAGTCCAGTGAGTGCGTGCAGAGAGGGGGGCATGGGGTGGTACACGTGCTGTTGAAATGGCAGGAAGCCATATGGGGGACGAACAGAGGCGTGAAATGCCATCATCTCGTTGGCGTTTCACACTCGCGGCCGAAGCAGGGTTTTCCCCGCCCCTAACTCCATGCGATTTTCGGGAGGATTGAACGAATCGGACAAGGCCTGAACCTCTTGCTAGATTGTGTCGATTGCTTCGGGGAGGCGTCCGTCGAGTTTTGTATTTGCTGGTGCACCCGCAAGCAGATCTCGCTCCCAGTCGCTTGCCAAAGGTACGTCCAAAGGTTGTATCGTATCGATAGGAGTCGTTCCGCGTCAAGAATACAATCGACCCAAGCAGGCCAAGAAGGGGGTAGGGATGGTAGTGGGAAGAAGGATGGCGGGAAAAAAGGCGGCACAGAAGCAGAGAATCACCGCGCCTCGTGACGAGTGACGAGTGACAAACGTACGAGACGTCTCTTCTGTCCGTCGGCGATTCATTGATGGGATTGTGCAAGGATATATCATATGACCACAAGACCCCTGACATCCACCAAGAGGCGAGCCCGGCAGGGGAAAGACAAACCGCTCTAGGCGTTGTCTCGCTACAGCCTTCTTGGAAGCCTCTTGTTTGTCGGTGCAAGTCGCTGCGACAATCGCCCACTGACAAACGCGTCAGTGACCGATTGAACGCGAGTTGTGTTTCTCTCTGTTTGCACGCATAAACCAAGAAGCCTTCATTGTGCGAAGGTACATAGCGTAAAAGCCAGCCACACCGGTACACATGCACACCCATACCCACATACATGCCGCCGCAATCTGTGTGCATGGATGCATGCAGTCATACAAGAGTCTGTCTGTCTGTCTGTCTGTTGGTACTGTATCGTAACGAGTGAAATTGGACACAAGTGTCGCTTCGATCAGTAGCTTCTACACCTGACAGACAGCAATAAAGGACCATTGCCCGGACCAACCAGTGCACAACCAACATCTGCCATCCTCTTGATTTTTGGGGTCTTTTCTTACCTAGGTGAGCTCCCAGACTTCCATCTCGGTGATGGAGAACTGCACGCGTCCCGCCAGTGGGCAGCGGCCTTCCTCGACCTCCCCTCAATAGCCGTCTGGCAAGCTAAGCCGTGTGGCTCTCATGTAGCAGCTGGTGAGATCAGCTGCCGGGTCGGGCTGTGTATAGCCGAGCCAGACAGCTGGTCCATGCTCCACACCGATGGACACATGGGCGATCGGCTGCCCATCTCCGCCTCGCAACTCCTCCCGTCCCGCCAGCGCCACATACGGCAGGTATTGTCGTTGCCCGCCGCCATCTGCGGGGGTGGTGATCTTGGTGGGTGAGTCATACGGCCCGGTGATGGCGTAGAAGGAGACCAGGCAGCGGGTCTTCTTGCCCTCTGCCAGCGGGCCGTCGACGGTGCAGGCGAGGAGGTGGGTGGGCCCATCGCGCATCAGCAGCAGCAGTCTGGAGATGCCATGAGTTTTGTCGAGGAACGTGGGGTACTTGAAACCATCCCGTGACGACCTGAAAGGTGCACATGCCCGAAATCAAATGGGTGCGTGCGGTGTCTAGTGTCAGTACTTGTAGAATAGGTTGATCGACTTGATGTCCATGAAGCGGCTCAACCAATCATGCAGAGCACGATAGCTGCCAAGGCGAGATGACAAACGCAAAAACTGCGCGCGACACACACACACACACACACAAATGTGGGCAGCGTTCGCGGATGCTCATGTTTCTTACCTGCTGGCCTGGAATGCAAATGTGTTGAGAGGCCGCTTTGAGCTTCGCGCCTTCGTGCTGCAACGAGCAGCCACAACAATGAATCAGAGCGGGTATGTTGTGCAGGTCTGCCTACCGATTTGCTGTTGTCGACTCTCTCGTGGAGCAAGTCGCATCGCCCTGAGAGAGGGAGGTCCATCGCCCTGAGCCTCTGAAGTAGGTCTGTCTTCAGCTCCTCTTTGTCGTCATGGAAGCCGACCTGCACGGCCGTCGTCACCTCATCAACGACATGCCTGTGCAGTGCCTAAACGCATGCATGACACAGGGATATTCCACATATCATAACAGACTCCTTTCTGACAGACGCACGACGCACCTGCACTTGCATCCGCCTCTGAGCAGCTTCCTCCTCAAGCTGACGCTTCAATGTCACCAACTCCTGCACAAGACGGACACAAACAAATGGAAGATCTGTGGATGATCTGCCCTCCTACCTGTGCGTACTGCTGCTCGACCGTCTTGATCCGCAGCAACTCCTTACGGCAAGCCTCCCCCATCTGCGCACAACAACAGCGAGTGCAGAAATCCCAGCACATGCCCGCCGCCGCAGCCCGCGCAGCGGGTGATCTACTTACTTGTGCGTGCAGCCGCTCGAGCGTCTTGATCCTATCCATCTCCTCACGATACATCGCCTCCATCTGTACAAGGAGACCATACAGCCACCCATCCATTCAACCGTCCATGTATCCATCCGTCAATCCATTGAGCACCCTCTGGGTGTGTTGCTCGAACTCCCCTCGTAGCGCCTCCAACATCTCCTGCGTCACCTCACCGTCACATTCGCCCTCAGGCCCAGCCGAAGACTGCGATGATTCCATACTCGGCGGACCCGCGAAGGAGGGGAGGATTAGGCCAGGATCATGTAAACACTAACGCATCGCATAAGCGGAAGAAGGACAGAGTGATGCAAAATCGAGGCAGGCAGTGTTAGCGGCAGGCGAAGCTGTACGAGACTCGGAATATAAAATGCACGCAGCAATCTGCCACATATTTAGGACCACGGGGTCCCTCGATTTCGATGATTCCCTGCATACACAGATACATAGAGACATGATTTCTGGATGTTTGCGCGGCGGCGTGAAGGTTGCGCTATCCCTGAACTCACCTTCTCCACAGTCGGACGCCCATCGTGGTCAACCCTCGGCGGGCATCCAGACGCCATAAGCAGAGCACTGGCCGCTTAGCCGATGGGCAGACATGGGGGCGGTACACGTATTGCGACATTGATGGCTCTGTCAATCACCTGCAGAGCCGCCACCTCTCCCTCTAACGTATCGACAAGGCCCTCCACAAAGTCGACGTCTCGTCGACGGGGCTCTTGCGTGATGAACTTCATCACGACTGGCGTGCGCCGCCCTCGCCTGATGAACTCGCCCTCCCACAGGGCGAAGTCGCCCCTGCCGCCCTCAAGCTGCCTGCTGTACTCGAAGGTGTCCGTGGGGCTGTCCAGTGCGAGCGTGGTGCCGGCAGCGAGAGGCGGCAGGGCGGTCAGTGCTGCTGTAAGCTCAGGTGTGACGGTGCTGGTCGGTTGCTGCGGTGGCGGCGGGTACGGCGTCGGCGAGTCCGGTGATGATGAGCCGCGCTCATCGGAAGCACCGCCATCTGAGAGAAAGAACACAACCAACCATCAAATGTGACATGGTATGATTAATGAGAGTGCAGTCGCGGTACTTCTGCGTACCTGTCGACTCGTCGCTGAAAATGGGCGAGGAAGCCGTCTGCAACTTTGGTCTAATCAAGGACGTGTCCTCCTTCTCACTCTCATTCACCCTCCCCTCCAGCTCGTGATCTTTAGCCTCCCTCTCCTCGTCACGCGGCGGTGACGCACCAGTGGCGGCTGCCGCTGGAGGCTCCTAGGTGGCTTTGGGCTCCTCCCGGCTCTTATCCTTCTCCTCTGGTCGGGGTGGCGACGACGGCTTCGTGGCGGCTGGGGTGGGCTCGTCTGGGCTCTCGACCTCGCCCACCTCTTCCTCCGGCGCTTGGTTGTCGTCGCGTGGTGCTGGTGGTGGTCGGCTGCCACCGGGTGACGCACCACTGGCGACAGCCGGTGGAGCGGTCGGGAGCGCTGGTGCTGCTGGTGCTGCTTCTGCTGGTGGCGGGGATGGGTCATCGGGTCGTGGTGGTGGGTGCGAGTCGCCCGGCGAGGGCGGCAACTCATCGGGCTCGTCAGGAAGGTCGTCCATTTGGTTCGGCTCTGGTGGCTCAGAGTCGTGCTTTGGCTCTTTGGGCTCCTCTCGCGCGCCGGCGGGGTCGCGGTGGGAGGCCTCACTGGGCGTCTGACACACCACCACCTGAAGGGACAAACAAAAAAAGAACACACACACACATACGGACGTCATCGGGCGGCACTCTCTCTCTCTCTCTCTGGGTATGGTTTGCTTATGTGCTTACATCCTCAGGCAGTTCCTGTGGCCGCCTCTCGGTCTCCACAGCAGGCAGACGAGGCATCTTGTCCTCCTCTCTGTCCACCTCTACGTCATCCACCAGCCCCACAGGCAGCATCGGCTCGTCCGAGTCGCCCCTCACTCTGCCGCCAGTGCCACTATCCCGGCCACGTGGCCACCGACTCCCTCCTCCCCGGCCCCTGCGGGCGGTGGGCTGTGCTGGCGAAGGTGCCGCCTGAAAGAAGAAACACATCAATGTCACATTACATGGCGTACCAGCCCATAATGTGTGTGTGATCTTACTTCGTCATCGATGGCTGGTCGCCCGCCACCTGCGGAAGCTTGCATATCATGGGCCGCGACTTTCCAGGCCGTGCCGTCCTCCCCCGGCTTGCGATGTACTCGGCGGTGGGCGGCTCGCTCGGCAGCGATGGCTCCTCCGTGGCTGCCAGCATTTCCTCCTCGTTCTCCCCCCCGAAGACTATCTCCCTTTCCCTCTCCTCCTCACGAGAGAACGAGCCGCCACAGCACGCCTTACTCAGCAAAAATCCCCCTCCCTTTCTGATCCCCCGCTGATCCCGTCTTCTCGCGCCTGCCTCCCGCGGCGGTTGCTGTCGTGCTTTGGGGTGGATGGGGGGGCGCACATTGGTGCCGCTTGGGGTGGAAGGGACAGGCGGAGATGCCGGTTCAGCTGTCTTCTTCTCAAGAGCGCTCGCTGCTGGGGCGCAGCCACTTGTGGCGCTGCCGCGTGCAGCTGAGATGGCTGCAGAGCGCTTCCATATCATGGGCGATGAGGTCGGCTGGCTGTGCTGGCGATGCGGCGGGTGACGGTGCGCGGCTGGTTTGGCTTGGCGATGGCGGCAGGGAGTCTCCTCGGGACTGCTGGAGTGGTGCCGTGGTCTTCTTGCCCCTGGCGGCAAGGTTGGCGGCGGCCAGCTCGCCAAATAGGTCCGTGTCGTGCTGGGCGTACTCCAGCAGCCGGATCTTCCGTCTGGCTTCCTGAAGCACACATAGATATACAGACGCAGACATACACACAAGGGCAAAGGCGGAGACCAATCCATATGGTGTGTATGCTTGCCGTTGCTGTGTACGCTTGCCGTCTGGGGACCGACCAGGATGATGCTAATCAGTCGCCGCTCATACCACTTGCACACACGCACGGAGAGGAACACCACATCTCTCTTGCACGTACATTACCTGTGTGGGCGGCCTGGGTGCCGCTGGCGTGGCTGTGCAATCGAGGTCGGGCTCCAGAGACGGCTTCTGCAGCCCAGCGGTTGCGCTGATAGAACTGGTGATGTAGTGGTGCTCCGCACTATCGAGCCAGGTTCCGCTGAACAACACGCACCAAGAAAGCCAGACATGCCATGATTTTGTTGTGGACGTGCCGCCTGCTGGCGCGTACTTGGGCCGGAGCTTATGTTGGCGAAGTTGACAAGAGCACGGCGGGCGTGCACTCCAGATGTGCTTTGCAGCGTCCATGGCTTTCTTGTTTTTCTCCGCCTGCAGCCATCTCTTGTGCGCCGCGTCGTTCTCGTTGCTGATTTAAAACACCTGCACATTCAACCACCGGATTGGCATGAGTGAGCGATGGAATTGATGACGGATGTATCTCGGCCTCTCCTTGTGCACCGGGGCCCGGTGATGAGTCTGCCCGTCTTGTTCAGTTGAGGGCGGCGGGGGATCAGTGGCCTCTCCTTGTCCTTTGAGGGAAAGTTGTAGGCAGTCACAGATGAGCAGACGAAGTCGGCGAAAGTGGCAAGATGATATAAAATGCAGGCGGCGATCTGACACAGACAGAGGAAGAGACATGCGCTCAGAGAAGAGGGAAAGAAATGCACATCTCTCTGTCTGCAGGTATACCTATGCTGCGGGGTCCCCCCCCCGCATAGCGAGCGGCACGTGCGCTAGGCTTCGGCTGAGGATGGTCCACGATACATCCATGCGCACATGACAGGCACCACGCGAAACCTCCCCTCGACATGGAGGTGTGCCAGTCTGTTGTCAGATACACTTCCCTGCACACACACGCGCGCTCCACATCAGCTCTGGACCCATACATCCCTCCATCCTTACTCACCTCTTTGTCACATGTGCAGCCAGCCATGCTCAGGATGTGTCTGCCGTCCAGCCTCTCTCTCTCCCTTAAGGCCTCCATCAAATCCATCAGCACCTCAAACGCATCCCTCCCTTTGTCGACAGTCGATATCTGGGCTTGTCATGCTTCTTGTCGATGACGACGCAAGGTTTCTCTACACATCGTCACTGTTCTCTCCAGCCCCCGGTAGGAGGTAAGCTAAGCGGCTGACCGGTGACGTGCTGGATGGTGAAGGCAAGGTGGTCGGTGAGCGGAGGGAAGGCTACGACGCTGAGGTCGCCCGCCAGCGACACGTGAGAGCCGTTGACGGCCCAGAGAGACAGGTTAGCGAGAGTGGCGTCGCTGATGAGACCACCCGACCTGAGAATGAGAATGAGAGGTCACAGCCACATGTCGGATGACAAACGTATGCGTGAATGTCTGCCTCAGTACTCACTCACCCTGCAGCAGGCAGGAACTGCTCCCTCAAGTCACTTGTGTTGAGTGAAGGTTGCGGCGTCACCGGTGACGAGAAATATGAGCTCGAGATGGCCCCCACACTGCGTCTCCAATGCTCGTCAAGGAGCCCCCCACCCTCGAACACTGTCCTTATCACTGTCCTCGAAGAAATTCCTCCTTGCTCCACACCAGCACCCTCTTTGCCGGTGTCTTGTGCGGCTAGCTCAAAGTCGATTGGCTCCTCCTTTTCATCGGCTATCTGCTGCTCACCATCGACAGCCCCCTCTTCTGCTTCGATTGTCTCCTCAACCACCAGCGGCCTCTGGTTGGTCGGCGACTGGTGTTCTTGATCGTCCCGTGGTGGATCAGACGGCTCCTCCAGATCCATGACAGCACCACGAGACGCATCATCAGCACCCACAGGATCCTCCTCAACGACGATGCACTCCTCAATCACTTGCCGCCGCTCCATGCCCTCCTCCCAATACGTACAGGACATGCAGGGCCCTCCCCATCTGAGGCATGACTGGCCTCCCTAGTATGTGGCCTCCCGTTCGGTTTGCTCTTAGGGTGCGGGCGAGGTGGAGGGGGTCGGGCAGGGGGGCAGTATAAAGAGCACGGCATCGCACCCCCGCAGCAGCTGGCCCAGCTGGTCGCTGATCAAGGGCATCCGCCCTTCCTCGCTCCTCTCTTCCGGCCTGGCGCTGGTCTGCACGAAGATGGTGGCTGTGGCGGCCTTGAGCAGGCTGATGTTTCTCTCGTTCACCATATTCACCAGCGTTTCCACCTCCGCGGCTCCCTCCTTCCGCCACCCTCCACCAGGTCGACCAAGGACGACTGCACGTGGAGCTCGCGCAGTGCGCCGAGGATCTCGTCGGCCTTGGCATGGCAGGCAGCCAGGCTGTCGATCCCCTTGGCGCACAGGAGGAGCGTGTCGGGCCACTTGGCCTTGAGGAGCTCCTCCTTGTAGATGCGCTCGTACTCCGCCGCCTTGCCCAGCTTCTCCATCCGCCTTGCGAGGTCGATCGTCCTGCGGCACCTCGATGACGCAAGGTGTTTCTGCACAGTGCACATCGTCACTTGCACGCTGCACGACATGCAGCTCTCTCCAGCCCCCTCTCTCCTACTCGTACTTGATCCACTCGCCGCGCTTCAGAGGGCTGGGTGCGACGTGGTGCACGTCAGTGGCGCTCGTCCCAAGGCAGGAAGCTCCAGCCGAGACGATCGAAAAACCGCCCACCTACACGCACGCACACACGCACACACGAAGACACAGCCACAGGTGCCATGGCCGTACGTTTTGTAAAAGCAAGCCCACACGCACGGGAGAGAAAGCAGCGGCAGGAGGAGAGCGCAACGTGCCGATAACCGAAGGGGTGGACGGACGCCTTGGCGCCTGTGCAGCGGTGCGGGAGGGGAGGGGCTGGAAGCAGGAAAGGCGGCAGAAAATATGCATTTTCTGCCACCCCTTCCCGTCTCCTGCGAGCTATAGAATTCGCGCCCAAACCCTAACCCTTCACCCCAGCGCCTGGCTTGGTGCAATCCCATGGTGCGGTTCGGGCAGGTTGTCATTGGGCCAGCGGGATGCGGAAAGGTACACAAACAAAGCACACCGAAACGGACAAGTCGACGGATCTGTTTGCGTGCTTTGTGTGCCCTTCAGTCCACGTACTGTGCGGCCCTTACGAAGCACGCCGAGTGCTCCGGCCGTCTGCTGCGCTGTGTGAACCTCGACCCAGCTGCCGAGGAGTTCGAATACCCATGTGCCATCGGTGAGCGTGAGAGTAGCAGGTCAGCATGACAGGCAGACAGGGCGTGTTGATGTCTGTGTAGACGTGCGTGAGTTGGTGACTCTCGAGGATGTGATGGAGGAGTCGAATCTGGGACCCAACGGGGGGCTCGTCTTCGCCATGGAGTGAGCTGAGCATGAACAGGAAGCTGGGGGACTGTGAAGAGTATACATGAGATGTGGTGTCCGCGTTTGTCTGTCTGTCTGTCTGTCTGTCTGTTTTGCAGGTATCTGATTGACAATTTCGATTGGCTGCAATCGGAGCTCGACCAATTCGGTACGGAGAGCTGACGAAAACGCCTGCCTACGCCTGCCTTTGTCATGTGTTCTCGTGTGCCATTGCGTGCAGGTGATGACGAGTACTTTCTCTTCGACTGCCCTGGGCAGGTGAGCAACCAACCTGTGCCATCGCTTTCAACAGCGTAAAGGTGGACTTGTGTACCCGTGTTTTTTATGATATATGTGTCAGATTGAGTTGTACAACCATCTGCCGATAATGCGTCAGCTGGTGGACAAGCTGCAGACACTGGACTTTCGGTTATGTGGGGTCTGCTGCCTCGACGTCTCATTCATCACCGACATACCCAAATTCATCGCCGGATCGCTCATGTACACACCAGCACAGGGGACACCATGCGCAGAGTCGGCTCAATTTCTGCCCCTTTGCTCCATGCAGGGCGTTGAGTGCGATGGTGCAGCTGGAGCTTCCGCACGTCAATGTAAGCAGCCGGCCATATCAAACACCCTCGCGCACAAGGGAGGGCAATCCATCCATAATGCTGCCCTTCGGTGTGTGGTGTATGCAGGTGTTGACCAAGTGCGATTTGCTGGAGGAGAGCGATCGCGAGCAGGTGGACCGATATCTGCAGGGCGAACCGAGGGACCTCGTCGCACAAGTGCAGGTAGGTAGGGGGGGCATGCAGTAAGTAAGGGTAAGGGGGGCGGCACCACGCGTGCGTGTGGTTCGTTCTGTTTAGGGTCCGCTGGGGAGGTATCATGACCTCAATCGGGCCATGGGAGAATTGGTGAGTACAAACGACACCGCCGAGGCTGCCCCTTGGCCACGTGGATATGTGTGTGTGTGTGTGTGTGTGTGCAGCTGGAGGACTACAGCATGGTGTCTTTCCTGACTCTCAACATCCAGGAGCCGGACTCTATCGGTAAGACGACACGCCAAAGGAGAGAAGCCCGTTGTCTGAATCAATCTGTCTGTTCTGGGGAAGCGACCCACCTCTGTCTGTGCGTTGTTTGTGTGCAGATGAGCTGATGCAGCACATCGACACGAACATCCAGTATGGCGAGGACCTGGGTAAGTAAGCAGACAGACGACACCACCCACGGGCCCTGTCACGAGCATTGGCCTTCACTTGTGCCTTGCTGGCTGTCATCTCTTCATGTCATCTCTTCAGAGACGAAGGGCAACTTTGACCTGGGAGCGATACCGGTAGGCTGAGCAAGGAGGGCGAGAGGGATGGACACTGCAAGTATGTTAGTTCCTGACGCGCGTGTGGCTGGTGATTGTCTGCAGGAGGAGGGCGAGGGCCAGGATGGCGCCGATTGACTGTCGGAAGGATGCGACATTGACATGGCATCAGCTTGATCGTGTCCGTCGTGCACGATGAGGCCAAAGGACTGTCTGTCTATAATGTCCTGATTGGTTAAGCGATGAGATGAAGCCATTGTGCATTGGGGGAAGGGTCATTGAGATCATTGAGGGTCGTCTGTCACCCACACCAAAAAGTCTCACCAGCGCACGAACGAAGAATACGACATTGCACTGACGGCACGTCGCCTACACGCACTCATTCGCATTCCTACGCTCACAATCGCAAACTCACCACAGAGCATGCACACCACACTCATCGCCCCATCCATCCATCCATCTGCTGACTGACAGAAAAACACGGTGCCTGCTCAATGGTCGTCGCCCCTCCCTCCCCTACTACCCTTCACCATCCATCCATCCATCCATATCATCTGGTACTTTCCTCCCCCTCCCCCCTCACCAGAACAAAACCATCCACACATACGAACACAAAGACATACACATTCACAGATGTTCGTGTACAGGGACCCTTCCCGCCCTCCCGCCCTGCCCATCGATGTCATCTGCCTCTCTTGATCCTCTCGACCGTGTCGATGACCCTCTGTGCCACCAGGTCGGCCAGCGGCGGGTGGCCAGAGAACCCAACACACGCAGCATTGATCTCGCTCAATATGTACACGGTCCTCTCTGGTGGCCCGTCGCGGATGAAGTCACACGTCCACAGCACAGGCGGCTCCGACACGTCCAGCCGGTCGAGCATCTCGCCCAGCTGCGAGTGCAGGAAGTCAACGATCGACGGCCGCTCTCGCGGATCGTAGTAGTCGTGGGTGGCCATTGCTCCCAGGTTGGCAGAGAAGGCGTCGCTGTTGGTGGACGCGTCGGGCCGCCTCTCCACCACCTTGAGGATTGTCCGACCTGACCATACACGTACGTCACACACATTTATCTCCGATCGCTCTCTCTCCCTTCTGTGCTGTGCTGTGCTGCGCTGCCCACCGACCTGATAGGATGACGCGAATCTCGCCTTCGCTGATGCGTGTGAGGTATGCCTGGTTGACGACAGAGTCCCCCTGCTCCTCAAAATAACGCTCGAAGAATGAAGTGAAGTTCTGAAAGGTCCGCGACTCCTCGTGGTTGTCCTTGGCCTCTGTCAGAACGAGCATGGTGTCTGGCGTCAGCTGGATGGACGCCTTCTTGGGAACGATCAGCGCCTTGCTGTTGCTACTGCTGCCTGTGGAAGCATTGCCGTTGCCGTTGCCGTTGCCGTTGCCTTTGCCTTTGCCGTCCCTCCCCTCGGCCTTGCCGTTCCTGCGATCGAGAACCACCCTCTGCGCCTGCTGCTGCTGTTCGTCGACCGTCTTCTCCTCGGCCAAGACGCCCATGACGCCGCCAGAGGTGAGATTGACAGCGACTCGCCAGACGCCCTCCCCCTTGGAGCCGCGGTTCTGCTTCAGAACACGCATCCTCCCATCTGCCGCCATCTGCGGAAGGATCGCCGCAAAATGACTGACATCATACACACAAAGCAAAGACGCAGACAGCGAGTGAATTGCCTCCAGTGGCGCCTGACTCGTCCGCCTGCTGACCTGACAAAATGTTCGAAGCTGTGGTAGTGGTAGGCGTCAGGGTTGGCAAGCGGCATGCCCTCGAGCTTGAGCAGACTCGCCTTCGAACTGACACGCACACACATGGGGCGGGAAAGACCAGCACACCCATGACGAGAGCAATCACGCGGCACACGTTTTTCTCCTTCCCCTCGCCCACCCCATCTTGTGCTGAATGTCAGGGTGGTTGAAGACGACCATCCCAGATGCGTTGAGCGTCCTCAGGAAGGCGTGCAGCCGTCCCTCAGTGCAGTAGAGGTAATCGCCTGGGTCCACCCGACTCATCACCGCCGTGTAGTTGCGTGGCAGCTCCTTGGCAAGCCACGAGGCATGGTCATCGGCAAAGAAGATGATGTCAGCGTGGTACCCGTGCCTTTCAAATGCCCGCTGGAGAGGCGGCGTGTCCGCACGGTGGCCGTGAGCTGCCTTGTCCGTGCCGCCCTCACCTGAGAAGAAGGTAAAGCGGTTCTTTCAGATGAATTGCACCAGAATTGCATCACGTCTGAGTGTGTGGTTGCTCACACTCAATGATGGCGAGTCGCCGCGGGTAGAGAGGGCGGAAGTAGTGATATCCCACACCCAATACGGCTGCTAGCACGGCGGTTGAAGCAACCAGCAAGCGAAACAACATGCTGTGGAGCCTTGCTGCGGCCTGAGCATCGATACAAAAGCTCTTATCTGGTCGATGAGGAAGCTGCGGTGCTCATGACGAGATACAACAGACGCAGCGTCCCTCTCCTCGAGCTTCCCTCTCCTCAAAGCGCGAGCTGTGGATGGAGATGAGCTCGCAAATATCGGCTGCAGCAAACACGCGTCAAGCCACGCGAAGGTGCTTGCTTCGTCAGCCTCTCGCATCATGGTGGAAGAATGTAAGAATGGCGCTATCGGGAGCTGCGTGTGGCACTGCGAGGCAATGAGTCACCGCGGATGGCATCTGCGAGGCTGAGCATGAGCCCATGCCACAAGGTGCGAACGAAAGATGGAGAAAACCACCACATATGCGGCAGCTTTCTGCGCTTGTCCTTTCCGACGCACGCCATGTGTGTTCAGGCCTCAATCACCTGATGGACACTAGCTAGAATGGACATCTTCAGCGATGCAGATAGCGTCGGCAGTGCCGGCAGTGGCAGCCGACACCCCACTGGCAAGAAACGCACCCCCCTCTCACTTCTCAAAGGCGTCAATGGAGGGTAAGCCCGACACAAACAACATCATGATGCACTTCAAGGCCTCCGAGACCCACACTGATGTCTGTTCGGTCCTCGTGTGTGTCTGTGTCCCCCAGCCACCCCTATCTGCTGTTCCCCATCCTCGCCCGTCGAGGCCTCAACAGTGCGCGTGAGCCAGGCGCCTCAGGCCCCTCCCGATGGACCAGACCCGGCCGGCCCCACCGGGACAAATCGATAGACCGCCACCACGGCCATCGCAGAGGATGGCGGGCACCCAGAGAGGGTGGCGACGGCGGACAGAGGAGGAGAAGGTGGGGCAAAAGATCCGACAGGGACGAGGATGGCGACAATGCGGCCTACGCTGAGGCCCTCGAGCGGCCTGCTGACCCTCCCGCCCCTGCACCAGACTCGCCGTCTCGCGTGGCAAGGCCACGAGCTGCGGAGGCGCATGGCCATGCGGTGCCTTCACCGACGCAGGAGCAACGGCGACATTCGCCTATCCTGCCATCGGTGAGTCCCAGACACAACGACGTAGAGCACCTTCTCTTCTACTCTGATCGTCTGTTTTCTTGCATTGGATTCAGGAGCCGAGAGGCGGCATGTTTCGGCTGCCTCGTCGCCATGGCGGCACCAGGCAGCATCACCACCACCACCACCACACACTGCCCCCCGATCCCCTCCCTCCCCCGTCATCGCGCACTCTACCGCCGCCAGTGGTGGCATCGGCCGGGGACGAGAGGGAAGATGTGTTCCAGGATGCCATCCCCGCCCTGCCAGACGATGACCTTCAGGGAAGGTGGAGCGGTTCCGTGGCTAGCGTACACACTGCCAGCGTAAGCGAAGACAGATAAAGAAAAGTGGTCAGCTGTCGACGTGTGTGGGTGGTGGGCTCCGCTGTTGCCTTTTGCCTGCAGTCTGACCGTTCCATCGAGCCACCAGCACTCAATGCCCCACCCCACGTCCCCCACCGTCGATCATCCCTCATCGTCGAATATAACGCCACCCGTCCCACTGACGGGGCCTTCTTCTCTCCCAAGCTCGAGTCAGCGCGGCCGAGCCTTCCTCCTCCAGATAGCTCACAGATACGGCTGACCCCGCCCCCGCCCTCCTCTGACTCAGTCGTCAACGACAAGGACGCGCCGCCCCCATGGGCTGTGAGTGCGCTGCAGCATGAGAAGCAGAGGTCGGTCATGGGAGCTGACGAGAGGCGACAGAGGTTGGAGGACGGCAGCAGCGAGTGGGGTGTGTGGGTGGGCGGTGAGCTGGCCAGGCTGGACGAGGCCAACCAGCGGCTCACCAGCAGGGTGGAGGAGCTCACGGATCAGGTGAGAGAGAGAGACGTGCGATAGTCCCCCTGACGCAGACAATTGTTCTCATGTTGACTATTCACAGGTTCGCGGGCTGCACGTGTCCATGCAGGAGCTGCTGGAGTCGTTTGACGACGTCAAGAGGTCGACGGCCGACCAGCACGCCTTTCTGCTCAAGAAGCTGGCCATCACCGACCACGCCCTGCTCAACCTGCAGCGGCGCGGCGCCGCCCCGCCATCGGGCACCAACGAGTGGTTCTGGCTCGTCATCTCGTACCTCGTCCAAGCGACCCTCTCGCTGCTCTCGCCCCTGCGGGCCAGCACCACGATTATCGCCAGAATTTGCTGCAGATGCAAAAGGCGGCAGAGCAAGACGGAGGGCGACGGCGGCATCATGATGACGGCCAGCACCACGCCATCGCCACTGCTGCCCCCCTCGCTGCTTCAGCTGAGACTGCCCTTCCCCGCCTTTCCGAAGAAGGCAAGGATGGCGCCACAGCCCCTCCCCCATGCAGCAGCAGCAGCCAACAACAATGGCGGCATGTCCAGCAGGAGCTCCGCCAACGACCTCCCGGCGGTCGGCCGACAGACGCCTACGAGGGAGGCCAACATCCGCCCCCCCTCTGCCCCATCTGTGGAGGCTGCCGTGACCGTTCAGCTGCAACCGCCATCATCTTTCGCCAACCGCTCAGGCGGCCCTCTGAGCAGCGTGTCGACGTCTCAGGGCGAGAGGGCTGGAGGGGGCCAGTTCGCGAGCGTGTTGAGCGGGCTGCGAGCTACGGTGAATGTCAAGTCTCGCCAGCACGGGCAGAGTGGAGGCTTCCATCCCTTGGTGGAGAGCACTGTCAAGAAGAAGAAGGTTGCCCAGTCAGAGCGGCTGGTGCGGGATAGGCACAGACAGTGAGTGACGTGACGTGGGTCTCGTTGGGCCACGGACTGGGGCTCTTTTTGGCTCACTCTTGCTCTGTTTTTGACGTTTTGCCTGCGTGCCTATATATCTCATTTGTGATTGTTATTGATGCCGGCACACAGAGTCGCATTCCTATGCGCCGGGCGTGACACCATCCGGCTTCACTCGATGTGTGGGCATTGGTTGATGCCAGCAATCGAATGAAGTATGGATGCTGTCACGCTCAGCGTGGGAAATGTGTGACGACCATCTCTCGTCGTTATGGATGTTGCATACGATTCTCGTCTATCTCTACCTCTGCATTTTGCACGTGCCCCCTCCTTGTCTGTCTGTCTGTCTGTGTCTGTGTGACCACTGGCTGGGTGTGGTGTGTGGGAGTGACGTTCAAACACGTCTCACCGGCAGTCCTCATTCATGTCAAGGGTCCATCCGGTGTGCCGAGCAGCACTGGACCCCCTCATCAGTCTATCACTTTACCTCGCCCTCTCCCAACACCACACACTCACACACACACCGGCTGTCTTGTCTTGCCATGGTGGGTTGACGTGAGCGTACTTACGTTGCCTCTTGTCCGTCTGCGTGCCCGTGTGCTGTGCGGTGCTCACTCGCACCTCCGGACCTTTTGTGCCGCAACACCCCTGAGTGAGGTCGTGTAGTGTTTCATTCGCGGGTCTGATTGATGGGCAGCCAGCGTCCCACCCATGCGCTTCGTATGCTGTCGATGGGGTGCCTCTGAGGTGGGCTGTCAGTCACTCACTGACAGGGCTGCTCCTCGGCAGCAGCATGAGTTGGGGGGAGGGTCCGGTCCTGAACTATCGGTTGACTGGACACCTCCACCTCCGGCCTGCATGTACCTCCCTGGAGAGGAAAGGGCTGCGGGCAGGAGGTCGTGGGTGACAGGTCGCATCGACAATTCACTCCGACCCAACGGCTGCGGGGCTTCGGACACCCTGCAGCAACCCACTTGCCCTGCTGCTTCGGGGGGGTTGGTGGGTCGGACAAGTCAGGCAACACGAGACAGGCAGGCAAGGGAGGGAGGGGGAGGGGCCGACAGATAGAGAGGGAGGACGTTCAAATGGCGCGAACTTTTGCCGATGATATTCTCTCGATGCGCTGATAGACGGGCGGCAGTCACGTAACGGCCCATCCGCGTGCTTGGCAGCACTGGGCCACCACACACCCACATGCACACAGACAGACAGGGGGAGGGGGTGCCGTATCTGTGTGCTTCCATACTTGCTGTCTGTCTTTGCCTGCTGCTTCGTCCATGTCTGTGGACGGATATACGAATTGCTGACGAGGAGGGAACCTTTGTCATGACACACTGACTGTTGGATTCATAGCCGGAGCGTGAGAATCTTCACATGGCACGTCACGCCCCCGCTGTCTTGAGACCTTGTCGCTCAGCCCCGACGTTTCTCACATGCTCCATTTCTGCAGGGAATGTGAGGAGCGTCCTGGCCGACAGACAAAGTCTCACGACAGGCAGAGGTTGTCGACACTGTTCACAGGTCAAACACGCAGACACACCTATCCCACCCCATCCACCACTTTGCTCATCCCGCCATATCAACATCTACGTCGTCTGGCTCCTCCCGCTTGACTTCCCTGCTCCTGGGAGTTTTCCACTCGTCCTCCTCCTTCATGCCATCCTGACGCTGCTCGTCATCCTGCCCCGTGAAGTCCATCTCGTCCCCATCACCACCATGACCATCGCCATCACCACCAGCTGCTGCAGCCGCCGCCGCAGCAGCGGCCCCTCCCCCTCCCCCGGCCGCACCCTCCTCCCTCTGTGCCTGCAGGTGTCGCTTCAGCAGCTCGTTGTCCCGCAGGAAGGCCCGGATCACCCACCGGCTGCAGCCGTGAACTGGGCACTCGATGCGGGGGCTTGTGGCGAACAGCTGGAGGATGGCGTGGCGCTCGAAGGTGTGTGTGCAGGGGGGATGGGCGGGGACGGGAGCGTTCGGGGGCACAACTGCAGACACACACGGGGAGCGAGGGAAGGGGGGATGGGTGGCTCGGCGACGGTGGGCCTTTAGTGTGTTGCTGCGTGTGCACCTTGATGGACGGGATGCTCAAATGGCTCTGAGAGGGACACGGCAAGTAGACAGACGCACAAGAGAGAATGAGATACATACAGAACACACGCCTCATTCCTCCTCTTCTCGCCTTGTGTGATGGGGCACTTGTCCGCAAACTCAGCAACGTCGACAAACACGTCAGCATCCTCACCCATGGGATCGTCCTGCCGCCCCTCCAGCAGCTCATTCATGCCCTTGACGTACGCATGGTCGTTCTCGTTCCCGCCGGCACCCTGACGCACACCCAACCTCGTCAGGCGGGCAGCGAGGCGCTTGAGGGCGGCCTTGGTGGCGTCTATCATCACATCCTGCTCGATGACCTTCTTGGCTAGCATCTGAAGTTCCGCATCTGAAGGGAACGACACACCACGAACCCCACAACGCACCATGCATCAGGATGGGAAGATCTGCGGTGCTCTGTGCTGTGTGCTGCTGACTGCATTGGTCGGCGGTTTTCTGCAGGTCATTCAGGGCGTCATCTGCGTTGAAGTGAGCGACGTCACCCATAGTACCCGGGAAAGAGCTCTGCGATGAAAGCAGGTCAGCGGCAGCACTTCCTCCTCACCATCCCCAGCCTCAAGGCGGCCACAATCAACGAGGAGTCTGAGGATGCTTTTGGGCTTCCACTCTTTGGACTCCTATCCCCAGAGCATTTACGAAATGCGAGCTTGGGAGGGAGGGATGCCAATGCGCTTTGGATAGGAGTGCGGTGGCAGCGAAGGCATCTCTGGAATGACATGACATCGCCCTTCCACTCGACACCTCTGCAGAGGACGAGCGAGGCCAGCACATTCTTCCCAGGCAGCCCGGCATCACGTCAGGCCCGCTCACATGGACGCGCCACGCCTCAGCCACCCTCCGATACTCCGGAGCCACCTCCTGCTGACGATAGCCATCGCAGAGGCGTCTTCCCATCCCTCCGTGGCCGGGGAGTGCCGTCCCGACCGCTCTCTGTGCTGAAGCGATGCGAGAGCGACACGCAGGCGCTGCTGGGAGGTGATGAATGGGCGTTCCGCCGCAGGAGTGCGTCGAATGCATCTGTCGTGGGTGGTGGCGGTGATGGCGGAGAGTCTGGCAGCGACTGGGAGGAGCAGAGTGACCGCCTGGCGGCCACCGTCAGCACCCCCAGCGGCAGGAAAATACGAAGTAAGGACGCGATGGGCGGGATGGCACAGGGTTTCCATTAATGGGATGCATGAGATGAGTGTGTCATTCCTTCTTCGGTACGTATGCTCGCAGGTGTCCATCTGAGGGATGTTAGTGGTGGTGGATGGTCCCCTCGCCGCCGCAAGACCGTCACAGGGAGCAGCGGTAAGTGCCAGCTGACAAGACACAACTGTGTGTGGATTGGAAGGGAAATGGCCTCTGCAATGAATGCTGTTCTGTGTCTGTCTGAGGGCAGCTGACAAGTGCCTGTTCCTTGCGCGTGCGGCGAGTGCAAGAGGTGAGGGCGAAAGGCAGGGCAGCAGGGAGAAATGAGTTTCCTGTCTGTTGATGACCATTTCTGTGTCTGTTGTCTTGTGCTGCAGGTTCATCGCACGGTGCGGCCATCGACTCACCTGGCATGTGGCCCGCACCGCTGTCCAGCCCCAGCACCACACCCAAGGGAGCCAACATCCTGCCGCCATTCGTAGCCAGCGACGGGGACGACGTATCGGAAGGTACACAGGGAGGGAGGAGGGGGAGGGGGAGAAGACCTTGACAACAGCGGCTTGATCTACTGTCTGTCTGGTGGAGGTCGGTATCCCTGTTGCAGATGAGTGTGATGATGGTCAGGAGGACACAGACGGGTGGAATGACCGAGAGGCAGGACGGCGTGATGGTGGTGGTTTGCGCCACAGAGCGACGTCCAGCCCACCACACCCAAAGGTACTTACAGCCACACACTCGAAGAAATGCACAATGTCTGTCTGCAGACACCACAACACATTCGCCTTGTCTGTCTCGTGTTTGTGCGTCAGTCCAAGTTGTCACGCCGAGCCAACAAATCCTTCCTCCGCATCGATACCGAGCTGTCCGACGGTGACGTAAATCGGGCATCCCGCCGACCGAAAAGTGAGCACAAACAGACAGGCCGAGCGCCATCGCATCCATGTGTGAAACCAAGTTCATCTGGCCCCCTTTGTGTTGCAGCCCCATCGGTTGAGCGTGGCCCGTCGTCCACCGGCCCTCCGTCCACCCCTCCCGCATCGTCGGCGGCAGTGCCTGACGCCCCGCCGGCGTCTGAGCCGTCCACCGATGAGCCAGCGCCCGTGCCAATGCCCACTCCCGCCCCCGTGTACGACCACCCCGACGCCAGCAGGCCTGAGGTGCGGGGCTTCCTGGAGCGTAGATACATCGAAAGCGGCGTGGCTGTTCTCAGTGCTCTGCAGCAAGGTGAGTACGGGGGGTTCAGAGCACACTGGGATTGCCATGTGGCTCAATCGGTGTGTCTGTCACCCGTGCTGCAGGGTTCGTCTCTCATGTCGTGGCGAGCCACATGCCGCCTGCGTCATCGGTCTCCGGGAGGTCGTCGTCACACGGGGCGGAGGACTACGCCACGGTGGTGCAGCACACACAGACCACTGGAGGTGGCCAGCAGAGAACTGACGACGCCACACAAGTAGGTGTGGGTGCATGTGGGTATGGGTGCAGGGAGGCCTTCATATTATGTATGTTGTGTCTCTGTCGTTGTGGCTGCGTGCGTGTGTGCGTGTGTGCATCACTCAGGACATTCTTCCCCCGACTGTGGGTGCCCGGCTGGGGGCGTGGGTGAAGGAGTTGGAGGACCTCTACGACGAATGGAGGAAGCACTACGGCAAGGGGAGGGCCGTGGCCTTCGTCAAGGAGGCCCTCAAACAACACACTCAATTCGTGAGCCATCACGAGTGGCACATACAAGACACGACAGCGACACACACATGATCTGTGTCTCTCATCCCTCTCTCAGGTTCAGCGTTTGGAGGAGGACATCGGCCCGGAGGACTCGGTCTCGCGCAACCAGTCGCACAACCCCTCCCCACTCAGACAAGCTGCCTCCTTCACACACGCACACTCCCACTCGCCCAGCAAGAGCCGCAAGATACCCAATAAGCCCGCCAGCCCAATCCGCACCACCCAAGACCAGCCCCAGCCCAGCAGCTCCACCTCACTCTCTGCTCTCTCCCTGGTGCCACCTCCGCCGCCCCCCCTGGTGGTCGCTGCACTCAGCCCCGTCAACGAATCAGAACTCGAGAGACACAGCAGCCCCATGGCAAGTGCCACTGCCACTGCCGATGCCACTGCTGTGCGGCTGGAGGGCCCTGTAGAGGTGACGGGGGGCGAGGAGAGGGGCACTGAGGAGGCGGAAAGGGCTGACGATGGCCATGGGGTGGAAGATGTAACCAAAGGTGGGCGTGAGTGTCATGAGGGTGTTGAGGGCATGGCGTTCCAGCCGTCGCCGACCTGGGCTGAGTCGGCGCTCCGGCGGCAGAGGCGGGGGTGGGCAGAGGGGAGTCTGATGGGTGGCGAGGAGCTGGACTCTCTCTCGCTGTCGAGGAGCAGCGAATTCCGAGGGCCCCATAGCGGCGGAAACACACAAGGTACACAGAACAGAGACGACCAGCAAACCACCGACGCCTAACCTCACTGGCCGTTTCTGGTTGCGTCTCTCTGTTACTGCAGTCACCCCCGAGCGTCCCGCCGCTCGTTTGAAGCAGCCGGGTCACTTCGACTGGTCTGAGCACATGCACCACGACTCGGCCAAGTCGTTCGGCTCCATCTCGCTCGACTCCCGCCTCCCCATGCCCTATGACTCGGACTCACTCCACAGCGGCGAGCTGCCCCCAGCCCAGCCCTCGGCACCATCATCCCACATCAGCGGGCCCTCCGACCTCCCCGGTCCACGCATCCTTGAGTGGGCGCGGGCTCAGGACGCCCGTCGCGGCATCCCGAGCACCATCTCCGAAGTGACCCCTCCACCGAGTGAGGACGGCGGCGGCACCCAGGCCCACACCCGCTCTGAGCGCATCGAGCCGCCACCCGGGTTTGAGGACGTGCCCCCCGAGCCGCCCAGGCCGACGAGCGCTCCGCCGCTGCTGCTGTCCTTCCTGCTCACGGATGAGGAGGACCGTTCCCGGCTCCACCCAGAGGTGCAGGCACCGGCAGCTGTGGCAGAGAGGAGCAAGGACAGGGAGAGAGAGAGGGTCGGCACACCTACGTGGAGGCGCATCACGATAGCAGACGCCACGCCACAGACGGTCCGGCGGCTGGGGGCCAGCAGCTCGTCCCAGCGGCCGGAGCAAAGCCCCGATAGCAACGGCACTGGCAGCTCCCGCCCATCATCGGATCGCACCAACTCTCAGCTGAAGCCTCTCGACGTGTCCCCCTTGCGACGCCCCCACGAGCTTACAGCGGCGCACCTGCAGTCCATCCCTCCACCGCCTCACCCCACCCTCTCCCCGCCAGCAGGACCAACAGCAGAGCCACTACCGAGCCAGCACGAGCAGATGGGGGCAGACGAGGGTCTTCACGATCCCTTCTCGTTCTCAGGGCTGGGGTCTGACGGGGAGGAGGACGGGAGGGACGGTTATGGCGATCATGATGGCGATGGTGTGTGGGAGAGGAGGCAGGTTTTGTCGGCACGTCGGGCGTTTGAGGATGAGAGGGAGGGGGAGAGGGAGGGGGAGGAGGAGCGGCTGCCCTTTGGCTTCTGCCAGCCACCCAAGCCTCTGACGTCATCGCGACCGCCCCGTGTGCCGACCAGCACTACCGACTCGATGCGCATGGGCGCCATGGGCGGCCGCATGTTGCGCGACGACTACAGAGACCTGGGAGGGGAGGCTGGTGGGCCGGCCAATGAGTTCCACTCGCCCATACCGAGTTCGAAGGCGGCTTCCTTCTGGTCCCCCGACCACCGCCTCTTCCCTGTGCAATCGGGACCTGTGTCGCCACACCACCATCTGCCGCAGCAGCCGCACCACGACTATCACTCTTACGGCATGACGACCGAGCCCTCCCTTTCGGTGCACCCCCGTCCCCAGTCGCCACCGCACATCAACGGTGCCCATTCGGGTCAGCTGCACGGCCCTTCTGCGGCCATGATGGGGTCGCAGCATCACCACCAGGAGCAGCAGCAGCAGCAGCATCCGACGGAAATGGCAATGACGATGGACCAGTACCTGGTGGGGCAGATGGAGCCCGGCAGCGTCACACGCATGCTGGCCAACGAGCGCCGCTACCACAACAGCACCACCACAAACACCACTGCCCCCTCAATGAACCCCGATGATGACTACCCCGAGGTCACTGACACCAGCCCTCCCCGCCCGAGGGCGGGGGCGAGCGTGTCGGCAGGCGGCCCGCGCATACTCACACTCAGTCCGCCGGCCGCAGGGCCGGGAGGGAGGCGGGGGGCGCGGGGTGGTGGGATGGGTAGGGGGGCTGCTGGCCATGGCGGATCTGCATCGATGCCATCCACGCCACACGGAGGGGATTGGGTGAGCTTCCATGTGGGTGCGGCGCCGGAGGAGACGGTGTTGCTGCCGCCCGCCGAATATGTCACTCTGGATGTAAGCACACTCACTCACTCACTCAGTTGAGCCCAATCCCCATGCTGATGTGTCCATCAATTGTGTGTGTGTGCAGGATTTCAATGCGTTGATAAAGGGGAGGTTCAGTGAGGAGCAGTTTGAGGGTATGGTGGTGATGCTGCGGGACATGGCCCTCTTCAACGACCAGAGCGCCTCACGGTACCTTACCTGCTACTGTAGAGCGAGTCTGCTGCACCCTATATATCCTTGTGTCTCCCTACTGTGTGTGTGTGTGTGTGTGCGTCTTGCAGGTACCTGCAGCATATTCTCAGGCGCCAAGACGCGCGCGATCTGCGCATGAGAATCATTGAGGTGAGCAAGGACAACTCCACACACACACACAGACACGCAATTGATGGATGGGACGACCCACCATGCCTCTGTCCCATTCAGCACGTGATGCACCCACCCCTGTTCGCCATGCTCTCGGTAATCCATAGACAGACATTTCGACATGGCCGCCTCCCTCCCCTCTGTATGGCTGTGCCTGTGTCGGTTTATGCAGCGTCATCGACATTTCCACTACTTAGTGCGTGAGGTCCTCCGCAGCCGACTCACCTCGCCGGCCACGATCCGCAACACCCTCCTCAGCCCGCGACTCACGGCCCGCATAGACAGAAAGGAGAGGAAGCGGCGCGCCAATTCTCAGCAACAGGTGAGTGAGGTGCATGGGGTCAGACAGACAGACAGACAGACAGACAGAAAGGCAGACGGGGATATGGGTGTGTGTCTTGTTGTGTCAGCCGTTGGCGGAGATGATCTTCAGCATCTGCAGCAATGCGGCCGGCACATACTGCATGCAAGACGCATTCGGTCAGCCATCTCTCTCTCTCACACACAGAGCCAACAATGGCTGGCTGGATGTGTGTGTCTGGTCTGCATGTCCCTTCACATGGTGTGTGGTCTCGCTCGTCTGGTGTTGTGTGTCACCCCCCCTACAGAAAGGATGACCCCGCACGACAGGCAGGACCTCATCGGCAAGCTGCTGGCCCACGGAGACGACACAATCGCACGGATCTGCGCCGTAAGTGTGTGTGTGCCACACACACTGCCGGCCATGTCATGTCTTCTGCGTTGTGAGATGCTCCCTGTCCATGTGTGTGGTGCGTGTGTGTGTGCGTGTGCAGTGTAAGGCGGGCTCGTATTGGATCGACACGGTCCTCTACTGTCATGGCAAAGACGACTTCCGCGCACCCCCGGAGTTCTTCAGGAGCATCTTCACACGGCTGCTCATGGTACACCAAACCCCCCTCATCCTTGAGACACACACACATCCCGCCCCCGCTCCCGCCCCCGCCCCGAGACACACGTGACATGTGCGTGTCTGTGTCTGTGTGTGTGTGTGTGTGATTGGTCGGAGCAGGTGGTGCGTGAGTCGCATTTGGAGGACCCCGCCCGCCGGTCTGCCTGGGTGTCCGAGCGGTTCCTGCCCACGTCCGTCCGGACGATCTCCAACTTCTTGGCCGCCGACGGCAGACACCCACTCCACAGCCACAGCAGCGGCACCACACACGAGGGCAGCAGCCACGGCAACCACGACAATGACAAACGGCTCACCCAACGGCTCACCCTCGACGCCGACTCACGACGGGTCGGTGGGTGGGTGGGTGGGTGGGTGAGAAGAGAGACTCATCTGGATGTGGGGCGGTGTGTGGTGTGTATGCTGCCTGTCATTATACTTAACGCGTGTGTGTGCAGCTGGTGCGTCGTCTGTTCAACTGCGAGTTGTCCTCGCTGCTGCGTCACGGGGTGCTCTTCCCCTACGGCGTCCACCTCGTGGCCATCGCACTCACGGTAAGTGATAAAAGAAAACTACACACCACCACATGCGGCCTTCTTTCATGGCCATCCATCCATCCGTCCCATGTTGCCTGTGTGGGTGCAGAGTTGTGCGCCGCCTGAGGAGGGGAGTGAGGTCAGTGAAGAGGACGCTCAGTTCCGGGCGACCCTGGAGCGGTCGCTGCGGGATGCCCTCAGCAGCAGGGAGACATACTTCTGGCCCACTCTGCAGAGGGGGTGGGACACAGCTCTCGTGCAACTACTGCAGTGCGAGGTAGGTAGGTTAGGTGGGCGGCGGATGAGAGAGGACAATGGAGGCACCTATATATGTGTGGGATGTGTGTGTCTCCGTGACGCAGCCGGCGGTGCGTCGGGGTGTGGTTCGTCGGGTGTGGGCTGAGAGTGGCGACGCGAGGCGCGACTTCAGCCACCACTACGAGTGGAGCTACGAGTTTGGACCCGCACGCACCACTCGCGGAGGAGAGCTGCTCAGACTCGCACAACAGGTCTGTCAGCGAAACAAGTGGATGGCGTCGAATGATGTGTCTGTGTGTGTGTCTGTGTCTGTCGTGTCGTGTTTTCCTCGGTTCATTTCATTCTGCAGGTGGTTAGCGAGATGGTCGATGCCCACGAGCCCGTCCCGCCCCACCTGGCCTCCGACCTGCAGGCCGCCTTGCAGCGCTACAACACACTGCCCGGCATAGCCACCACACCACACACAGTGAGCACACAACCAGCCCCTCCCATCCCAAACACAGGGGATCCATGCGTCCCTCCATCTGTCTGTGCACGTCAGGCATCCGGCTCGTCTTCATCCTCCCGTGGCGGCCGTGGCCACCGCGGCCGTGTGTCGACGCCACGAGGGCGGGGGCGGGCCAGGGGGTGGACGAGGGCCAGGGGCGGAGGAGGGGAGTGAGTGACAGACAGAGACGTAGTGAGAGACACTCGTAGATAGATGAAAGACTCCATGCAGCAAGGTTGGTTGAATCGTCCCTAGAGACCAGCCATTGGCGGCCACACACAAACTCTGCCAGTGGTTGAACAGTACTGACAGACATACGCGCCTATGTATTTGTGATGCATTCATTAATTAGCGGCAAGATGGAGGGGCAACAGAGACACGGACGCTATCCATGAAAATTCTTCAAGAGAAGCACCCGCCGCACTGCGGCGAAAGGGTTTCATGAAAGGGTTTCATGCCCTTCAACCCCATGAGGCAGTCTTTCTCCGCCTTGTCGGAAAGCTGTGCGTTGAGAGAGTGACGCACTCAACCAACAAGAGGGCGAGAAAAGTCACTCGAGTCATCCTCTCGAGTGCTGCGGTGAGGGAGGCGGCCGCCACTGACTGACTGACTGACTGATGCGCTCACTAATCCATTGGCCTCAATGCGTTCGCCGTCCTCTTATGTCTGCATCTCTCTCTGTCTGTGTCTTCGGCTCATCGATGCAGGCGTGTCGTTGAGGAGTGATGGCGGGCTGCTGATGGTGGTGCGGTGGTGATCTGCCCATCTGAGCATCGAACCAGGTGAGTAGCACACAGATCAATGAGCAGCATGCTTGATGCACACGATCCTCTGTCGGCTCTGCCGCTCTGTGCAGGCTGTCGTCGAGCACATCATAGCTACAAATGCAGCAACCGCAGCATCAGCAGCAGCACCCCTTCTCGTATATCTTCGTCGGCCGCCGCACCTACTACCTCTTCAGCAGCATCAAGGACATCCTGCGGCTGAGGGCCACCTGCACGTGGCTCAGGAACCTCTTCGGAGCGGCCCAGCTGAGAGATCGGCTCCGCCACTCGCTGGGCTCACAGACGGGGCTGCGGCGGGCGGTGAATGGGTAGCAAGTGCAGCTGCTGCGCTTCGACGACGATCAGTTCGGCACACATCATCTGCTGGCGGCTGTATGTGTGGTGGAGGAGGGGGGCTGGGGCGAGATGTGTGAGGTGATTGAGCTGGCGGCGCAGTGCGGCTGCTGTGACCTGCCTGTCATCCTCACGGCAGATGACATCAACACACACACAAACAAAACGGTGAACCAGCAAACAGACGGGGCGGGGAGGGGAGGGAGAGGGCCTCATTCCCTCTGTGTGTGGTGTCTGTGGTCCTGTGTGTAGGCGTATGTGTCGGTTCCCCGTATGTTGGCGCAGCTCAAAATGGTCGGCCGCCACGTCCACTTCATTGACGGCACTTGCCTGCAGCTGTTCCACCACGGCAACGGTGAGGTGCGAGCCATCACCGACGAGCCCGGCTTCGAGCTGGAGGTCGACCCGCCCCTCCCTGCCGGCCATCTGTATCAGGAGCACCGGCAGCCACACGATCCACCGGTGCGTGAGAGCATCTACTACTACGAGGACGACGGCGGCTGGGAGCCGCACGGTTTCCAGTTCACCCTTCATGTGTCAGTGTCGTCGTTTGCCAAGCAGAAGATCATCGACGTCTTCGAGAAGACTCAACAGATCAATTACACATATATAGAACTCGACAGGTGACAACGCCGATGGCGCTAGAGGCAAGAGGGGTCCGCCGTTGACTGTGTGTGTGGTTGGTTCAGGTATGTTGGTGGCGGCCGTTTGGATGCCCTGCTGACCGAGTCGCCCCACACACCAGTGGCCGGCTGCACGACCACAGTGAGCTCATACAGCGGTATCCGATTTCTGGTGCTGACCAACAGCAGCCACAACTTCGTCGCATGGGTTGACATTGCTGGAGCAGAAAACGATCCCGGTCAGTGTGACAGAGAGGGAGGGATTGTTAACGGCCAGGTATCATGTGGTCTCTTTCTGATTGCCTGCAGTGAGTGTGTATGTTGAGACGACTGAGACGGCTGTGTGTGGGAGTGGCGCCTTCAAGCACCGCTTCCCGATGACCACTCAGCTGGCTCGTGTGGCGTTGGGGGCGGTGGCGCCATACGTCTTCGACGGACAAGTACAACAGCAGCAGCAGCAGGATGACGATAGCGACGGTAGTGACACACACACACACACACACACACACACACATGGATGGATGGATGGATGGATGACGTGCATTCTCTCTCTGTGTGTGGTCTGCAGATTCCGACAGTGATGGTGATGAGAGTGACGATGTGGATGAGGGCGGCGGATGTACACAGTCCCACATATCAAAGAGGTCCTCCAGCTGGCCTGCATGACCCGTGTGTGTGTCTCCTGTGCATTCGACAGGTGAGGGTGGCGTAGCTGAGGAGGAGAGCGGAAGCCGGCTGTCGTCATGTCTGTAGCCGACCTGTGTGTGCTCAAGAGACATCGCATACCTCTCACTCTGTAGACAGACAGACAGAGTGGCCGATGAGTGACCGAATGGCTGTGTGTGTGTGTGACCAGATGGCTGTATGGCTCGCTGGCGTGCCTCTGATGGGTGCGTCAGTTCTGTCGGTCTATGGCTTGGCCTTTTTGCCCGTGCGTCCATCTTCTCTGTGGGGCTCTCCCTCCAGCAGGCAGGCAGGCAGCTCTCCCATGAGGAGATATCCGCCCGTCCTCATAGCCGGCTGCCTGCCTGCTGGCCGATTTTGATGTGCTGCTCCGGCCGATGTGCGACTGCGTGTGGCTGCCTGGCTGACTCACTGGCCATGCTCAGTGATTGTGTGGTGGACCGTGTCTGTCTATGTGTGTGCCGCGGGTGGCGGACCTGCAGGCATCGAGTGAAGTCATTGTGCAGACCGAGAGAGCCCCCCAGCCAAAGCTTCAAGTGACCGACTGAGCTCACCTAGTCAATTGCTCACACACACAAATGGGCCGACTGAGACGCCCGGCCCCTCCCGCCACGCACAGAGATGCCGCCGCACAGCCCCACTCACTCGTCAATGAAAAGAACCCGCTGTCTGTTGACGTGGCCGTCTGAGCGTTCGTGTCGTCGTCCTCTGTTTATGGACTGCTCAGTGACACACACAAACCCCAGCCAGGGGGGCAAAGGCCAATCGGACAGGATTGTTGTGCGTGTCACTGGAGATGTCTTCAATTGTGATGATTCGCTGCAGAGATGGATGGTGGATGAGAACCAGGGGCGCGGGAGGGGAGTGAGTGACAGAGAGAGACACCGAGGGAGACAAGACTGAGTGTATCTGATGCATGCGATGCGTCGGTGTCTGTCGGTGTGTGTGATGGGTGGACAGAGACCGGTCCAAGCGACGCAGGCAGTTGTCAGTTACGCACATACCTCCATCCAATACACTCACCATCGAAAGGATCCACCACGTGGCGGGCAGCGATGTGGTGCACCTCACCCGCCCATCGAACGCACCTCTGCCCTGGGGCGATTCTGTCCCTTTCCCTCAGGATGGTGGGTCGTGCGCAGTCCAGGCATGACGCACCAACATCACGACAAGCCCAAGAATCACCCCGAGAGCAAGAGACAGTCAAGGTCAACCAACGAAGACGGTCGGTACTTGATGAGGCACGCAATTGTCAAAGACAGTACTGCCGACGGTCAATCAAGTTAGTCAGACGAGGCAAAAAAAGCCAACTCCGCCTGCCTTACGCAACGGATGCCACTGCTGTTATCCACTCACACTGACTTAGCTGCCAGCGACACACTTCTTGGTGGCCAGCCAGCCACCCTGGCCACCCCCTCCAGTCGCGCTTATCCACTCATGCATCGCAGTACCACAACAAGATGCGTGTGTGCACCGTTTCTGTCCCTTGCGGGTCCTTCCCTTGGGTCGTCATGCTCATACCAAACAACGAGTGAGGGCGTCGAAGGACCGACGACGACACCGTCACGAGCCGCGCACGAACATGCCCACCCAGGGGAAGGAAAAGTCGCCAAGGGTGATTCAAGTGCGAAAAGACCCTTCCTGACGCGGCTCGCTGTTTGCTATCATCTCATCCACTCATGTACTGCGACAGCTCGGGGTGCGGGGGGACGCTCGACAAGACCGCCAGGATGGTCGTGAAGCCGAAAGGCCGGGAAGGTCGCTGACGTCACAGTGGTCACATGACCACACACAACACACAAAGAACCACTCATCGATGGTGCACAGGGTTTTATTCAGCTTGTGTGTGCTCACCCTGCTGGCTGCTCGGAGGGTGGATGGCAGGGTGAGGGTCTCGTTGACGCCGACATAGCCGTCGAAGATGCTCTCCTCCTCCATGGCCGCGTCCTCGCTGTTCTTCTCTTTTTTGTTCTCCTCGTCGACCACTGCTGGATCGTCGTCGGCCATGTCGACATCAGCACCACCCCCACCGCAATCGACAGCAGCAGCGGCAGCCGCAGCTGCTGCTGCTGCTGCTGGTGCCGCTTCAGGCATCTCCTCCTTGTCTTTGTCGTCACGCTGGGCCGTCTCTCCGTCCGGATCCTCCTTGAGCTCCTCCTGTGAGAGGTGGGCCGCCTCCCCCTTGACCTGGGCGATGAGGGACTTGACCCTCTCGGACACCTCTCCCGATGGCAGCGGAACAGGAGCCAGCGGGTGGAGGTCTGACTCGTCTGAGCCTTCGCTGTCGACATCGTCCTCGTCTGAGTCGCCGCCGGGTCGCTGAGGGCCCAGCTCGCCTGCACAGCACAAAGGCGAACGAACACGGCACAAATGTGTGTGGTGCTGTGACTGTGACTTGGTTACCATTGCAGAAGAAGCCGGCCACTTGGAACTTCTTCCCGACTTTGCCGAAAATGTCAACGGCCATCAGCGCCTCCACATTGGAGGTGCGGGGCCCGTACCAACCGGTGCCTGCATTCACACAAGGATCGATCAACACCTCACTTACCCCACGCACACAAGCTTCCTTCCCGTCGCACCATGCACCACCGCCCTCTCTTCTCACCTCTGGCGTTGCATGCACAGAGAAACGCACCCTTCGGCCGCGGAGGCGGCACACTGCGACCGGCACCATCGGCACTGCTGGAGGGATGTGCAGCGGCACCAGCACCAGCAGCAGCTGCTGCTGCTGAAGACGATGGATCGGGCTGCTCGTCGGTGGGCTCCTTTGCCGATGCGGCGATGGCCTCCTGAGCCCTCACCACCTCCTTCATCTGATCCTCGGTCTCTCGACGGTGCTGCACACACACACGTGATGAGTAAACCGACAGACAGTAGCTCGTCCATCTGTCTGTCTGTCTGTCTGTCGCACTACCTACCTGTGATCTGATGTCGCTGTTCTGGATGGTCAGTGTGCAGAGGGACCCTGGAGGGGTGGGTCCGTTGAGCGTAAGGGAGGGCAGCACAGGGGCAGGCTCGTCTGTGTGGCCCTTCTTCCTCTCTGACCGCCACTGCTCGAGTGCCGCTCGCCGGTGAAGAGTCGCCGGTCTGTCGTCCGGCTCCCTCCTCGCATAGTGCCACGGGTCGTACTCATCGACGAGCTGGGAGCCGCCGCTGCCCCCATCCGCTGCATACGTCACACAGCCACATCACAAGCGCTGTGTTACACGCACTCACACACACACTCACCTTGGCCTGAGCTCTTGTTGCCGTGGTTGCGCGGCGACCGTCGCAGACCCTTGGTCTGTGCTGCCTCTGCGTCGCCATCCTTCTGCTTCTGGCGCCTGAGGGCCTCCTGCTGCGCCAGGATGTGTTGCGCTGTGCGGAGGGCGGCTGGTGTGCGCCACCACTCGTAGAGGATCAAGTCGAAGTCGCCGCCGGTGACGACGGCCTGCGTGGTGTGGTCGTAGATGCCCGCGTCGTCTACTAAACCACCAAACGTCCCGACTGGGTTGTCCTGCAGCACACACAACAACAGCAATCAGAGAGGGAGGGTGGCTGGGGTGACGTGTTGACTCGGGCGTTGGTCAGCTTCAGCTTACCTGTTGAGGGTTTAGTTCCATCACTGTGAGGCAGCCCACTCGCTGGTCGAGCGGGAGGTCCGACTCATCCGGTGCCTGCCGAAAGGTTGCTTCATCGACCAAACGACTGACACACAAGTTTTTGGCACACAAAGAGATCCATCGGCCATGCTCCGAATAATGTCTGCTGTCGTTGGGCTACCCAGTTGCATCTGCGAAGGTGACGATGAGCGTGCCGGGGTCAGGACGCGGTGGCCTCGCTCGCTGATCCATCTCCACACATGTGCGGTCCGAATCTGACACACGACGACGATTCGCAAATACATGTGCTCGTGGCAGACGGACGCTTGGCATGTGTGGTGGTGCTGCTGCCCGCCCCGCCCCGCCCACCTGGCAATCTGCCGATGATGCCATGGGCTGTCGCGATCCCGACGAAAGTGCCACGAGGAATCAACTCCATTGCCATCAGCGCCTCTGCGAGGTTCTTGCCAAACTCTGACAAGTCAGCAGATGCACAAGTGTGCTCGATGTGAACAGCCTGGCGCCCCACCTTTCTGCTCACCCTGTAGGTCGTTTCCTCTCCTCTGTTTGCACACGATGAGGGCAGATGTGGGCCGCCACCGGGAGAGCAAGAATGGAGCCACCTCAGACGCAACACCTGCAGCACACACACAGAAACAAACGCGAGACGTCCATTGTGGCGGCAAGGGCAAGGGTGGGCTGATGCAGCGAGACCTCCAGTACACCAGCCAGCCTCGAATGGATCTGCCTGATCTGCCTGATCTGCCTGACCGCCTCTCTCTCTATCGCTCCCCCATACAGCCATTTGTCAACACTCCCGACCAATGCCCCGGCTGAAAGAGCTTCTTCCATCCACTGCACTGCACTGCACCT